TATTCTGAAGAGTACATTTCAGGAATAAATTAACTACCTTTCCATCACTGCCCCAAACAGCGGGCCCACTTAAATGTTTATATTCTCATTTTTCTCACCTCCGGCTAAATTCATGCGCAAGAGCTTCTGATCCTTCACCCGGAGCTCCAGCAAGAAGATGAGACGCAAATTTCTGAACAATTGGATGATAGTGCCTCTGAAAGGAAGAACATATGAACCAGATAAGAAGACCTGTACTTAAAAAAAAAAAAACATGTATGTTTTCCTGTTTGACTAAACGTTCCCCACAAATTTGTATAGTATTTGAGGGAATGGTATCGAGATTTCATTTTTTTATTAATTTTTTTTATTTAAGAGAAACCAAAAAATACGAAGTACATAAACAGACATTTTAGGCATGTCCAGCTGCTAAGACTGCATGGCTATATTGTATTTAAGATGAAAGTTTCCCCTGACATTAAGTTTTGTTGTGTCTGACTCTGAGGGTTGGTGTTCATCTCCATTTCTAAGCCAAAGAGCTGGTGTTGTCCATAGACACCTTCAAGGTCAAGTGGCTGGCATGACTGCATGGAGCGCTGTTACCTTCCCGTTGAAGTATTGATCGGCTCACATTTGCATGTTTTCAAACTGCTAGGTTGGCAGAAGCTGGAGCTAACAACAGAAGCTGTAAACATTTTACAGGCACCCATTTAGACATTTCTGGCATCCATTTTGATTGCCATTTTTCCATATTTTAATGCTAGTTTTCTAGTTTCCTTGTAAATATTCCAAAACTTCCCTTTGAAATTTCATTTATCTACATCCGACAAAACAAGTGCCTTCGCTCAGCATTTTCTAGGTTCCCCAGCATGATTCTATGGTATTCCTCAGCCAAAAGTCCTTCACTATCATATTGCTTTGACTGTAAGATGCTATTGATTGTGAGAAGCACCCTAATTTTAGTACCATCACCACCAATAAAAACATACTTAAGATACAATTGTGATTCTAAGATGCATCCCATTTTTAGAGATGTTTATATAGGAAAACAAGTGCATCTTAGAATGGAAGCAACACAGTATTATTTGAAGTTTCATGTATCTCCATGCAATCTGGAAGTGTTGCTCCCCATGGATATGGGGGGGGGGTCATACTGTATTGGAAAACAAACATTGGCAACCAATCTATAAATGATTCAGTTCAGTTAAATCTTATATAACCCAAAAGTTTTACTCAAGAATGTCTGTCTAAATATTTATGGGCAGTGATATCACACATCTTCTTTGGCATTGTACATAGATTTGAAAAATGCGGGAAATAATACTGATTTTTCTATCAAAATTCCCCGATAAGAAGGGAATGCCTGAACAACACAAGTACAGTGCTCTCAACTGCTTTATCACTTATCCTGATACTCAGAAAGATGCTAAAAAACCCACAGAGTGCACAAAACAGCTACGCAGACCTAAAATGCCCAATTTAAAAAGCTAGAAGCATCAAAACACTTCTGAGTTTCAACATAATAATTTAATCTCTTCCAAGGAGCGAACCCCTGTGACTCTTACCTTCAGAGCATGCAGTTCCCACAGAGCAGTGTTCTGAGCATTACAGTATTCTGGCTCATCCAGCTCAGGAAGGTAAAGGCCACTTCCTTGGGACTCATTGTCTAGGAGGAGGTCGGACTTTGGAAATGTCTTCAATATCCACGAAGGGGTTAATTAAAAAGAGAACAAAACACACATAAAATGAGACAATAATCACATGCGTTTCGCTATGCCTTGTTTACAAGATAAAAAAAGTTCAGGAAAACTAAGGTCCCTAAACATACTATATTTCATTGAGTCTAAGACGCCACTGATTCTAAGACACACACTGATTTCTGTACTGTATTTGTATATTGAAAAAGGTTTATTTGTATATTTTTAAAAGCATCCACAATTCTGAGATGTACACAGTTTCTAGAGATTTTTATAAGGGGAATGTGCATCTTATATGACAATGATTGTTGTTTGGTTGTTGTTGTTATTATTATTGCAGTATATGTGCCCTATTGGATGCATGGTAACTGTTAAATGTTTAAGATGCTCTTATTTCATCTAGAAAAGTGGTTTCTCAACCTGTGGGTCCCCAAATGTTTTGGCCTTCAACTCCCAGAAATCCTAACAGCTGGTAAACTGGTGGGGATTTCTGGGAGTTGTAGGCCAAAATACTTGGGGATCAGGTTGAGAACCACTGATCTAGAACAAAGTAAACTGCAGCTTACTAGCCTCCATAGAGGCTTTACCAATTGCCAAAACAATATTTTATGTGATGACCCTTTGTTCATCAGCTAGTCTTCCCCAATAAGGGAACTGTCTAAAACAGTGGTTCTCAACCTGTGGGTCCCCAGGTGTTTTGGCCTACAATTCCCAGAAATCCCAGCCAGTTTACAGCTGTTAGGATTTCTGGGGTTGAAGGCCAAAACATAGGTTGAGAACCACTGGTCTAAAACAACCAGGCAAAGCGTGGCACATGGGTCATCTGCAGATCCACATGGATCAAGCCTTTTCCCAAATATTTATTTTACACAGAAATGTCCCAAAATAGCCTCTTGCATGTGTGGAGGACATTCTTGAGGTGTTCGAAGACACCCTGGGTCCTGCAGGAGTAATGTAATAAATATATAGCATTTTTTTCAAATAGTCACAGGTTTCCCCAACAATCACATGAAACATTCAATGTTAAAATACAACACGTAGCTCTATAATGGGATTGTATTCACAACTCTTGTCCGATATCAACCATGCTACAACTGGGTACCTACATGCATTAATGATCTATTGATTGCCAAGATCCCAACACTGGAATTCGGAAGGACATGGAGAGCGAGTGAAGAAAGGCGCTTTATGAAAGCCAGAGCCCTCTGCTGGGAGACCTGTTTCCGGCGCTTTATGAGCATCGCATCCAAGCACTGCAACACAATTGCTACATCTTCATTTGTGGCACCTAATACATAAATAAAAAAATATTTTGAACATTAAAGTGTGTACATATGTATATGTATGTGTGTGTTGTAGAAGGCATCTTCTATTCTTGCTACTGTCCTTTTAATTTACTCAAGTAAGAATCGCCAATTAAGAATCAAACGCATGACATGGGCCAACACACATTTTAGTGACTCATATGTTAGACCTGTTTCTGGGTATTGTGGACCTGCCGATTCCAAAAAATGTGCCAGTTTCTCCCATAAGTTCTGGCTTTTGAGATACAGAACATATGCCATCAACCATCTGGCAGTCTTTAGGAAGAATCTGAAGACCTGGCTATTCCGATGTGCCTTTCTGGAATAGGATAACCTCCAGCACTATGTCCCAGAAGCACTTTATTAGAGTTTAAGACTCTCTGCACATTGCACTTGCCCAGAAATCCAACATACCACCTGCCACACCCAGCACTTTTTAACCTGTACCCACCACTGGCCCAGCCCTGATTTTTATTGCATAATGATGTAATGTTATTGCTTATGTTTTTAATTTGCTTTAAATTGTATTGTTAGTGTTTTGCTGTTGTTGTGTTGAGGCCTTGGCCTTTGTAAGCCGCATCGAGTCCTGTGGGAGATGCTAGCGCGGTACAAATAAAGTTTAATAATAATAATAATAATAATAATAATAATAATAATCTTCATCTGCGTGTCTATGGAAAATCATGATGACCGTACAACAACAACAGTTCCATCTTGTTTCCTGCCGATATCATCAGTTCGGAGGCCTGCCCCTCGCTGACACCAACTGCTGTTCCGCCAGAGTGAAGAGGGGGGGGGGGCAGAAGACAGTTCCATCTTGTCTTCTGCATATATCATCAGTCAGGGCCCTTCCAGTCAAGCCCCAAAATGCAGTCCCTGTTATACTTTTACCTGAGGGATTCAAATGATGCCTCAGGTAAAAATGAATTAATTTGGGGCAAAGCAGGAAATCCCTGCTTTATTCCGAAGGGGGGGGGGGCAGAAGACAGTTCCATCTTGTCTCCTGCCTATATCATCAGTTGGGAGCCCCCCCCCCCCGGCACCAACTGCTGCTCTGGCCAGAGTGAAGACAGAGGGGAGCAGAAGACAGTTCCATCTTGTCTTTATTACTAATAATATAATATAATACGTTGTATATACATATAATATTTATAATATAATGTAATACAGCATAATAATACTAATAATAATACAATATTATAATTATATATTTAATATTACATGTCATATTACTAATAATATTACCATATAATTGTGTGGTACAATATAGTAATATATAATATTGATATTGTACTATGCTAATAATTTAATATATTGTAGGTATATATATCTTGTAAGCTGCTCTGAGTCCCCTTCGGGATGGGAAGGGCAGCATATAAATGTCGTAAATAAATAAATAACAACATCCTGAGATGGGAGAATTTATAAAGACTGTTAGTTTTACTGATGGGTCTATGGACCATAATAAAATTGTTGTTGTTGACCCTATCTAAGAAACTAGAGCTGATGCAGTCTATCCAATGCAATTTTCTGAATCAGCACCTCAAAAAAACCTCAGGAACATGCCTAGAAACCAAGACACCAAGAAACAAATATTTCTTGGTTGGGCTGTGTTGCCTTGCAAATGAAGATATATTGCAAAATTCCACTAAAAGGAATCACAGTGAGGATTTCCTTCAAATGTATTAGCCTGCTGATAGGCTAGAATAATACAAGCCACAGATTACTAGGACCTGGAGATAACAATCCTTGAAACTGGCTTTCTAGATGGCTTTCTAGATCTAAACTTTATCACAATAGAGAGAAAAATCCACTTAAAATCTGGCTTCTGCTTCCTGCAGAATTCTGCGGTTTGTAGTTTTGGGAGGAGCCTTTAACAGCCTCATTAAACTACAAACCCCAGAATTCTGCAGGAGGCAGAAACCGGATTTTAAGTGGATTTTTCTCTCTAGTGTGATGAAGTTTAGATGGGTTGAAAAACACATGCTTTCTTAGTTCCTAGACACACTGAAGGCATGCATTTCCATCCCATCTGCTACAAAAGGAAAAGAAAAAAACATTAAAAATCTGCCATAACTAAAGTCATAACGAACTGTAGTATTACACAATAAAACTATTTCAGTAACTTACATTACTCCAAAAACGTCTCCCATAATCGTCAAGTGCCACTAATAACATATTGAAAACGACAATTACCTGCATGGAGCATAAACAATGTCTTGTAAAGGTGTGTGTAGAACTTCAAGGGGTCAATGTTAAGGACATCACCTGGCCAAAATAATCAGGTAATCAGCTAAATTAGTTTGTTTTGTAGCTACAAATGATTACACTATGCAACATGATTTTTGTTCCTGGGTTATAAATGTCATTTCCTAATTGGCTCAATCATTAAAAAATGGAAAAAGTTTGCTAAACTGCAAAACCTTACTGTTTTTGCGGGACATCCTGCAGAACATTTTGCTATAGTTTTTCAATGAATATCCCATAGAGTATCAACCAAATCAACAGAAATTGTGGCAGCCACAAAAACTTAAGTTTCTGGAGTATTACAACTACTTTCAATGTAAGTACCACACAATTAAAGGAAATAACTTTCAAACCAGGTACAGAAAATATTTCAAATTTTGTTCCATATTAAACAAATTGCAGTATTCTGTGTGTTCTAATTTCTGCTGAATTTGAGGGACTGATAGAGTCCTTATAATATACTGCTTGGCAAAGTTTTATTTATTATGAACATTCAAGGAAAGCTATGCGAAGTACAAAGAAAGTAAATGGATACAAGAATAATCCAGTAAAGGTAAAGGTTTTCCCTTGACATTAAGTCTAGTCAAGTCCGACTCTGGGTGGTGGTGCTCATCTCCATTTCTAAGCCAAAGAGCCAGCGTTGTCCACAGACACCTCCAAGGTCATGTAGCCTTGGAGGTGTTACCTTCCCGCCGGAGCAGTACCTATTGCTCTACTCACATTTGCATATTTTTGAACTGCTATGTTGTCAGAAGCTGGGGATAACAGCGGGAGCTCACCTCGCCCATTGGATTTGAACCGTTGACCTTTTGGTCAGCAAGTTCAACAGCTCAGCGGTTTAACCCGCTGCACCACTGGGGACTTTCCTAACCCAGTAATAAACTGAAAAATCCCCAAACATCTATCCCATTATATCTGTGGAGACGTACCAAGGTGTTACCAAAAAATTTTTTTTCCTATAGCCTTGATAGATATCAAACCCTTCCACCAAAACAATAGCATTCACATGAATTATACACATGTCTTAACAAGAAAATCAAATCTTCTTACCTTGGCCAGATAAAATGTGAAAAGCGGAAAGAATACAGTGCAGGCTCTCTCTGTGGCTTAATGTCTAGAAGTACAAGAAATAAATAAAAAGTCTGCCATTTCTAGATGCCTGACTTGCACATATCCCATTGCCAATTTCCTGAAAATTCATACACACTGTTGTTTCCTATCGCTGCTAGCAGTAAAGAAAAGACACTCTACATTTTAGGGAGAGATTGGGCTGTCCATCCAGACAAGAAAAAGTATCACCAACATGTACAAGTACAATTTTGGTATCAATCTTTAATAGCTATTTCTGGACTGAAACTCCCATCTTCCCCAGCAAGGACAATGAAGGATATGAATTATATTCCAACAACATCTCAATGACTAGAAGTTGTCCACCCCGGCATTGATCAAGAGCCATTTTACTCATTCGAAAGCATGCAAACTTACTCCTGATGCAATGAGTGAATGCAAAACGAGCAAGAGATCATCGAAAAATTCCAGGTTTATGAGATGGGCAAACCTAAAAACAAAAATAATTAAAGTCATGATTTTCAATTTGGAGGAGGGGGGCACAAAATATTTTGTTTCAGTTTACAGCCATTTTCAAATATCTTGCAGTAGGTTTCACTATTTGTCACCCCCAAAAATTCAAGATCCTTCACCTCCATTTATATTTTTTGAACAGTGTTATAACTAATACTTCCTACCAGACCTCCCACTCCAAAAATAGTTCTTGCATGCCACCTAATGGCTGATTTAGACATTACACAAATCTATTAGTAATAACATGCAGTGTCTCTACAGCTGTACTTCATGAAAAGAAAAATCACCCTGGGTTGCTGAGAGTTTTCTGGGCTGTATGGCTATGTTCAGAAGCATTCTCTCCTGATGTTTCACCCACATCTATGGCAGGCATCCTCAGAGGTTGAGAGGTCTGTTGGAAACTAGGCAAGTGAGGTTTATGTATCTGTGGAATGTCCAGGGTGGGAGAAAGAACTCTTGTCTGCTTGAGGCAAGTGTGAATGTTGCAATTGGCCAGCTTGATTTTCTGCAGCTGGATGGTATACGGTAGACTCATGCATAGGTGAGAGGGTCCCTCTTGTTCTTTGCTGAATTTGTTGGATTTTCTTTGTGGGTCTGTAGATTGTTTGTCGATTGTTTCTTCATCAGCTTCCTTATGTGGTCTGTGGTGCCCTTGATGTATGGTAAGAACTCTTTTCCTCTGGTGGATCTTTGTCTTTACTCTCATGGCTTGTTCTTGGTCTTGCCGCTCTTCTTATGTCTGTAGTGAAGTATCCATTGGCCTGTAGAGCCAGTTTAGGTGGTTCAGTTCACCTTGGAGGAGGTAAACCACAGCAGAGCACCTGATGAACTAACCTGGACACAGCATATTATCTGAGAACACAGAAATGGTGGATCAATCTAACAACCACCATGTCAGACTACACAGAGAAGCCATCGAAATCCACAAGCACGTGGATAACTTCAACAGAAAGGAGGAAACAATGAAAATGAAAAAAAAATCTGGCTACTAGTATTTAAAAAACTCTAACATCAGGACAGTAAATAAAGAGCAACACTCAAAAACAGGGGAAATACTTACATGAAAAAAATCAGGGCCAGCTAACACCTCCCAACAAAGGATTCCCCTAGGCAGCAATCAGCCAGTCTTTGAAGATGCAAGGCCATTCAATGCTAATCAAGGTGGCCAACTGCAACATTCACACTTGCCACAAACGGACAAGAGTTCTTTCTTCCATCCTGGACATCTGGCAGATATATAAATTTCACTTGCCTAGTTTCCAACCGCTGAGGATACCTGCCATAGTTGTGGGTGAAACGTCAGGAGAGAATGTTTCTCTCTGTGGAACACGGCCATACAGCCCAGAAAACTCAGAGCAACCCTGTCATTCAGGCCACAAAAGCCATCAACAACAGAAAAACAAGCCTGTTTATCACGCCTTAAAAATACTGCTTTAATAGAAAATGTTTGATTTTTATACTTATTTTATATGCCTACTAGCCGTCCCCTGCCACACGTTGCTGTGGCCCACATGGTGGTTCTGTATGGGAGGTTTGGCCCAATTCTATCATTGGTGGGGCTCAGAATGCTCTTTGATTGTAGGTGAACTATAAATCCCAGCAACTACAACCCCCTAATGTCAAGATTCTATTTTCCCCAAACTCTGCCAGTGTTCACATTTGGGCATATTGAGTATTCGTGTAGAGTTTGGTCCAGATCCATCATTGTTTGAGTGCACAGTGATCTCTGGATGTAGGTGAACTACAACTCCAAAACCAAAGGACACTGCCCACCAAACCCTTCCAGTATTTTCTGTTGGTCATGGAACTGTGTGCCAAGTTTGGTTCAATTCCATCGTTGGTGGGGTTCAGAATGCTCTTTGATTGTAGGTGAACTATAAATCCCAGCAACTACAATTCTCAAATGACAAAATCAATTTTTTTGAGTGAAAGACAAATATTGGGTTGTTAGGTGTCTTGTGTCCAGATTTGGTGTCAATTCGTCCAGTGGTTTTTGTGTTCTGTTAATCCCACAAACGAACATTACATTTTTATTTATATAGATATTCCTGGGATCTCTTTAAAAATTCTAGACAGAAATGGGTTGCGAGTGGAAAAAGGTTTTAAGAAGCCCTTCTAGGTAAAGCACTAGGTTCACTGACCATAGAGCCCTGGGAGACTTGGTCAAGATCCTAGAGCTGTTCAGCTCTCACTGCTAAAATTCTAATGAAGATGAAATCCAAATGTTTTGATAAATGAAATCCTTACTTCGCAAGCCCTTCTAACACAGCAGGCAAGAGGGGAGACTTCTGTGCTTTCTTCAGTATTCTGAAGTAAGTTAAAAATACAATATTCAAGGTTTCTGTGTGCTGAAAGGAAAAGCCAGAGAAATGAAAATGCATGGAATAAGCTGACTTCCATTTTAATGACTCTTTGTTTTTGTGTTCAAATTTAATCCCATCCTCAGTAATTCAGTAGTTTATAACAATAACAGCTCTGAATTGCTTTCAGCATAACCAGCAACAATTGTGGTGAGACAACCAGCACTGCAATAATTTATAATGTCAAAAAACAATAATTATTGAATTGTTCAGAGTGCACAAGCCACTACTTCAAACTACTATAATCTGCATAAGCCATGAACTATAGATTTTCACCCACATCCATAATTGTTTTAAAAACAAAGTGTTAAAGAACAAAGGCTAACTTCTGGAGAATTGGCTCTTATTTTATTTATGGGAGGAAAACAAAATCCAACACTACTTTAGGTATAAGCAAAGAAAAAGCTTACCAATTTCAGTTTTTTCTCTGTACTTTCGGAGGCTTCTGCTTCTAAGAGTTCGCGCTCCAGTTTCTCTTCTGCTTTCTTCCACTAAAAATGCACAATTTTTTCGATAAGGCAACTAACATCCTGACAATGTTAACAAAATTTACATTTTGAAACATAGGGCCAGTTCACACGAAACGTTTCCTATCCACTGTAAACCAGCGGTGGCCATTTTCACTGTTTCCTGGCTATTGAGATACAGGGGTCAATATTCCTACATGGGTACCTTCCAAAACAAAGATTTTAAAATTTGTTGAATTTTGAAGTGTATAACCCCTTGGTTTTAATGTGAATGTACGGGACTGGGCCCCCATGTTGTGATCTGGTCATCGACCGTAATAAACTTTACTTACTTACTTACAAAGTCGCCAGTTTAGAACTGATGCTTTTTTTTTCTGAAATTTTTAAACAGTATCAGGAGGGCCATTTAAAAGGACAATTAAATTTATTCGAAAAGTAAATCATTGCTCCGGCAGGTTTCCAGAAAAAGCAATTTCTACCCCTTTTTTGCCATAAATTTGTATCCAAGGACACAAATAGAGTCTTGAAAGCCTCATGTGGTCCTAAGACTACCTTTTGACTATTTCTATTTCAGAGAACAAAAACAAGATACCAAGAACTATTTTCAGCTAAACTGAAACAATTTCAATAATTAGTTCAGGTTAAAAGATCCACCCAAAACACACAAATGAGGGCTAACAGGTGTCAATTCAATAAGCAAAACTGGTAGATTTTCTCAAAAGTTCTATATAAGGGGATGGAAACAGAATTAAATACATGATGGAACAATCTAACCAAGATGCATACAAGAACTTCAGGAAATCAGTGTATTTTTTAAAAGAAAATGTCCTCAAAGACAGTTACTTTCTCACTAGATCAGTGTTTCTCTACCTGGGGGTCAGGACCTCGAGTGGTGGGCGAGAGAGGTGTCAGAGGGGTTGCCAAAAACGGTCAGAAAACACAGTATTTTCCATTGGTCATGGGGGCTCTGTGTGGGAAGTTTGGCCTAATTCTATCATTGATTGTAGGTGAACTATAAATCCCAGCGACTACAACTCCCAAATGTCAAGGTCTCTTTTTCCCAAACTCCACCAATGTTCACATTAAGGCATATTGAGGATTCGTGCCAAGTTTGGTCCAGATCCATCATTGTTTGAGTCCACAGTGATCTCTGGATGTAGGTGAACTACAACTCCAAAACCAAAGGACACTGCCCACCAAACCCTTCTGGTATTTTCTGTTGGTCATGGGAGTTCCGTGTGCCAAGTTTGGTTCAATTCCATTGTTGGTGGAGTTCAGAATGCTCTTTGATTCTGGATTAACTACAAATCCCAGCAACTACAAATGACAAAATCAATCCCACAACCCCACCAAATTTGGGTCTATCAAGTATTTGTGCCAAATTTTATCCAGTGAATGAAAATACATCCTGCATATCAAATATTTACATTACAATTCATAACAGTAGCAAAATTACAATTATGAAGTAGCAACGAGAAAAAATTATGGTTGGGATTCGCCACAATATGAGGAACAGTATAAAGAGGTCATAGAAGTAGGAAGAATGAGAACCACTGCACTAGATTGAAAGAACAGTGGTTTCTGAAAGTGTCCTTGGTGTCAAAAAGGATCTGCTGCAAGGAAAAACTCCTTGAACTTTGACCACAGTCCAAATGAACAGAACTAGCCACAAATTCATTTGCTTAGAAACCTCCAATTCTGTCGCTCAACACGGCATAAAAATACCTTTCTTTGCATCCTTGAGAGATTTTTCCTTTTTTCTTTGTAAGACATAAATTTCTTCTTTGGTGCAATATCTTCTGCATCTTTCTTTACTTCTACTTCCTTAATTCTTAGATGAAGGAGTGTCATTAACACCTAAAATTAAGCAAATGCATTGATTTCTCAAGCTGGTAAAAGCGTGTTTAGTAAAACCAGAAAAAGAGGGGTTGGAACCGGGAAGGGTGGAACTGGTTTAAGATTGATAGATAGGACAGCCTGCCTGAGAAAGATATGGGAAGAGCCACTTTGAAGGGAAAAGAGCTCAAATATTATAGACATTATAATTATATATTTATAATTATAATTATATATTTACATTACATGTAATATTACTAATAATATTACAATATAATGATATAGTGCAATATAGTAATATATAATACTGATATTGTACTATGCTAATAATATAATATATTGTATGAAAATATATCTTGTAAGCCGCTCGGAGTCCCCTTCAGTGTGAGAAGGGCAGCATATAAATGCCGTAAATAAATAAATAATAATAAATAGACACGACTAAAAGTTCTTGCTTCTCTGTCTGTTTGCTGGTATTTCAAAAGGACTAATAGATTTTGTTTTGTTTTATTGATTTGTTTAGTTTTTATTATATGTTATGCTTTTAATTATATTTATGACATTGTAAGCATTGAATTTTGCCCTGTTAACCGCCTTGAGTTGCCTACGGGCTGAGAAAAGCGGTATACAAATACAGTAAATAATAAATAAATAAATAAATAAATACATTTTGAGCAAGGAGGCAACCAAACCCTTCAAAACCCACATCCAGTAACTTACCTCTGGTCTAACATCGTAGTTCCGGCTTTTCACAAGGCCAGAAATTACCTTCACCACACCAAGGGACGCAAAGCCTAGCTTATCCTGCTTGAAGAGGGTCTTTACTGCATCACTGCACATTTCGGAAATCTAGGAAATGTCAAAGTCTTAGTATAAGTAATTGCTCTGAAAAGCAAACTTTTCAGTGAAATGATTGTAATGAATACCTTTTGAACCTTAAAAATGGTTTAAAATCCATTTTCTGTGGGACAGATTGTCTCAAGTACTTTCAGGGAAAGAAATAAACACACAAGCTCCAGTACTGGTTTTATAATAGCCATATTGATTACACAGGAAAACGTCGCAATTACTCAGAATTCATTCACATACATTCAACACGTTCATACGCACTGTCCCTTCTTCATTCAGTCCATCTTGGAAGCTGGCAGGAAGGCAGGCTGCATTCCTCACAGATCTGCCACACTTTCCAAGAGGAAAATGGTCTCCTTATGTAGAACATTTTTGCTGTTTTTTAAAATTATTGTTTGACTACCTATCATTCAGCTAAGACTTGCTGACGTGCCAAAAATTCCATAACAGATGTTGTTTTCCTTAACATAAGGAGCCATTGTTTCTGACTTTCTTGACTTAAAGAATTCTTGTCTCTGACCATGTAAACATGTGCTGTTTACACCAAAAGTTCTCAGGTCAGTTATGTCAGTTCAGCAGTTTTTCTTCATCTACACTTTTTATACCAAAGTTAACCCCATCTTCATCTTCTTTGTGTTGTGAGTCAGCATTCTGACACCATACCTACTACTAGTAGTAGGAGAAGAAGAAGGAGTGATGCAGAAACAGAGGAGAATCAGCGCCAGCTGAAACGCATTCGTGACATCTTTCTGGCTTCCAGTGATGAAGAAGACTTTGCAGGATTCAGGCCAGAGGAAGCTATGGAAGCAGATTACAGGGGAGTGAAGAGAGTGGCTAGTGATTCTAGACTGATAAGGTTTTCCGAAGATACCAGGAGGTCAACTTTTAATTTCCTTTTTTTTTCTTCTTCTTCTTCCTCCCCTTTCTCTTCTTCTTTTCCCTCTTCCTTCTTTCTCTTTTTTTTTTTTTTTTTTTTTTTTTTTTTTTTTTTTTTTTTTTTTTTTTTTTTTTTGTTTTTTTTTTTTTTTTTTTTTTTTTTTTTTTTTTTTTTTTTTTTTTTTTTTTTTTTTTTTTTTTTTTTCGAGTGAAGAGAGTGGCTAGCGATTCTGGCAGTGAGAGTGACACTATGTCTAAGAGGCTTAGAGACACAGCAGATAACTCCAGTGATAGTGAGGATGAGATGGAGGAGGCTGTAGACTGGAATCTGGTTCAGAACATTAGAGACATTTGCAATCAAGCAACATCAAGTGATGATTTTGAAGGTTTTAGGGATAATGGGAATGAGGGTACTGATTGGCAGGATCAGGCACTAGAGCAAAGGTGGCAGGCTTGGCATGGTTTAGATGCTTCAGCTGCGGGAGCAGAATCAGATGCAAGCAATGAATCTCATTCTTCTGATAGTGAATAAAATGAGCACTCTGGGACCTATTCCTTTGCAGACGACAAAGTGTTGTTTCGTGTTGTTCTCTGCCTAATCTTGTTTTGGATTCCCAGTATCCTGTTTTCCCTGCCGTGCCTCGGACCTTGGAACCTTCGCTCGTGAGTGTACATCTGGCTTCTTGACCCTTGGAACTGACTGACTACACGTTTGCCTACCGGATTTTGCTCCATGCCTTGCAACCCTTAAAGACTGTTTTGTTTTGTATTCTGCTCCTAGTCCATCGTATCTCTTGTTATTTCTTGGCTGCAATTCAAGCCTGCTTATCTAGCATTTTGTGTTCCTGTTTGAAAACATCCTTTGAACTGTTTGCACTGACTCTTAAAGTGCCTCATTTAGTTTGTTTTGCATTAAAATACTACTATTTTGCACCTCAACTGCTGTTTAAGACATTCTGTGTTCTGTGGGTCACGACACTTTGTTTCTCCATAACACAGATTTCCAGGTTCCAAATTCCTTAGGATGGTGTCTTCGGCCTTGGCAAGACTTAATATGCCCTTATCTAGACCTCAATCAGCAGAGACCTCGTGGGCCATCCAGTCCAACCCACTGCCAAGAAGCAGGAAAACTGCATTCAAAGCACCCCCGACAGATGGCCATCCAGCCTTTGTTTGAAAGTCTCCAAAGAAGGAGCCTCCACCACATTCTGGGGCAGAGAGTTCCACTACTGAACAGCTCTCACGGTCAGGAAGTTCTTTCTAATGTTCAGATAGAATCTCCTTTCTTGTAGTTTGATATTTATCAGCATTTTAACAGCTGAACAGAGAAAAGGAGCTAAAATGCTGCAATTAAAAAAATCATGAGTGGATGGGTAAAGCATGTAGAACTGAAAATTTACAAACTAGTTAAAACCAGGGTGACAGAAAACAAGCTTGCTCCCTCCTCCCTATGACTTCTTCCCACATACTTATGCATGGCTATCATGTCTCCTCTCAGCCTTCTCATCTTCAGGCTAAACATTTGATTCAAATCCACTCATCACACAGTCACAGCTGCTTTCACCAAGGCCAGTAAGAGACACCTACCTGCTTTGAAGGATCATTCATGAGTGGAACAATCAAAACAATAATGTTGTTGTGGAAGTTGAAGTGAGGCAAGGCTACGAGCAGCTCACAGAGGCACTTCACAGCAATCTCTGCCAGGCCTTTGTATGCCTTTAGCGATACAACATTACTTTTCTTCAGTTTCCTTTGTTTCCAGTCTAAATGAAACGTTATGCAAAGCATCAGTATTTTTCCTTGCTAAATTTTCTAGTCACTAATGTTTTTGTACAACTATCTGTCATGATAATACATCAAAGGGCTTGCTATTAAGAGAGGCAGACATAGTTATATCCTTTTAAGTACTCACTGGATTATATCGAAAGCAATATTTTATATTTACTTTCCCCAGAAATCCCCCTAGAGCAGTGATTCCCAAATTCTAGTCCTCTAGGGCCCCTTCCAGAGTGCTGTATAAAATCCCACATTATCTGCCTTGATATTGTGAGTTATATGGCTTTGTGGAAGGGCCCTAGATGTTTTGGACATTCGTTTCCAGAATCTCTGACCATTGACCAAATTGGCTGAGGCTGCTGGGAGCTCAAGCACAGAATGTATGGAGGACCAGAGTTTGAGGATCACTGAACTAGAGCCTCCTGAAACTTCCTCCTGCAGTGAGTGAACTATAGTACAGAGAGAGGGAGCAGGCTCAGAGAGAAAAAAGAGAATCCCTGAATATCGGATGGATGGCCCTTCCATCAGAGTGTGCTTTACCTTCTATCAGAGTGACAACAGAGGATGCAATCCACAGGCTTCCCTTCCTAACTCCCCACTTGCAATAATGGCCAAATTCAACAACCCAGGGATACAACATGGTTCAGTTTTTCTTCCTTCCTCTTATGCAATCTTCACTGTAACTTCAAAATTAAATCCAGGAGATTTCCCAACTCTCTGGGGCAGCTGGTTGCAGTGGGGATGGAAGTTCATACCCTTCTGAGGCCCTGTCTACACTGCCATATAACCCAAATGATCAAATCACATAATCCACATTATCTGCTGTGAACTGGATTATATGAGTCCACACTGCCATATAATCCAGTTCAAAGCAGAACATGGATTTTATTTGGCAGTGTAGAAGGGGCCTGATTCTGTCGAGAAAGCGCCCCTCTGAATCCTGGGCAATATTTATTCTGTCATTCAAAAAAGACTTAATCTTATTTCTCATAGCTTATATTAGTGTTCAAAAGCTAGGCCCAAACACTAGCAGTTTTCTTTATTAAATCATATGCCAGGACAGGATCACATATACACCACAATTTACATACACTAAAACATAGATTAAGTGTGTGTTTCTTACACAGAAAAATATAAACCCCATCATACAGGGATTGCCAGATTGCCTATAAAGCAGCAATTGTTTAGGTGTACCTGTTTCAGTAACAATTACCCTGTTAATTGTTAGTCAATTCATGTTTATGACAATTCTCCTCTGGACCGGCCACACTGTCCGGATGCCCGACCACTATCTCCCAAAGCAGTTGCTCAACTCCGAACTCAAGAACGGAAAACGGAATGTTGGTGGACAGGAAAAGAGATTTAAAGATGGGATCAAAGCCAACCTTAAAAACTCTGGCATAGACACTGAGAACTGGGAAGCCCTGCCCTTGAGCGCTCCAGCTGGAGGTCAGCTGTGATCAGCAGTGCTGTGAAATTTGAAGAGGCACGAATGGAAGGTGAAAGAGAGAAACGTGCCAAGAGGAAGACGCATCAAGTCGACCGAGACCGAGACCGCCTTCCACCTGGAAACCAATGCCCTCACTGCGGGACAAGATGCAGATCAAGAATAGGGCTCCACAGTCACCTACGGACCCACCAAAATACTGATCCTGTAAGACTATCCTACTCGGCCAACGAGGGATCACCTAAGTAAGTAAGTAAGTAATGACAATTCTGCTTTAGGTAGTTATTACTCTTACTCCTAATAACTTTTGAAGAATTTGGCTTGTCTTTCTTGCATTTTCTACTCATAACTTGATTCCAATCATTAATTTTAATAATACTCTTAAAGAACTGAAAACAGAACGACTGAAGTGACACAAAACCCAACATCCTGTCCTGGAAAATATGGATAATATGAAATTTTATGTGGATTATGTTCATTAGCATTAACATGGCTCATCATACCTTTCACAGTCTGCTCTAGGTTTTCTAAATAAAACTTGTACTGGCTCACAAGGCCTTCCTCAAATTCTCTTAACTTCTGAGTTTCTTTCTTAACCTGTTGGTAGGCAAAGAGATACTGGTTAAATGCACTGTCCAATAATTGGGAAACATTTTAAAGCCTAGAAGATGAACTCTAACGAAGACATTCTTACAGTAAAATCTAATTGTACACATCCAAAAGCAAAATATCTAGAAGGCATTCTCTCTTTTTTATAATTTTATTGAAAGTTAACTTTATTTACATATAGATAAAAAGGAGACATTTTCTCAATCAGCTGCAGATATCCCCAAAACACACAACTTTATTTTCAATATAGCCCTGCAGTATATACAAATAAGCGGTCTCAATTGTTTCACAATGTGGAAAGCTCCTCTCAGGGGGAAACAGCTAGATCTTCTCAATTTAGAAGAGATAAGCCACAGAACAATGCTTTGTAAGTAACTGTGTAGTATAGGCACCTTGGAAGTTATGCCTCAGGAATGTGTCTTAGAGTCTATTAAACTACAAATGCCAGGATTCCTTAAGATGGAACAATTATAATTAAAGAGGTACAAAACTGATACGTAGTGCTGATATATACCTTAAGCTGCAAAATTGTCACTGTGAAATAAATTTCAACAATAAACCCAGCAGAACATAATTTCATAAGTACTATCGTACATCTATATTCATAAGTACTATTTTACAGCTATCTGAATGAGGAAGCTATTTATCAAGTCACGGTCAACAAAGAGTGCAATCTCACCTTGGTATTTTTCTCTCTCTCAGTTAAAGGCCTGATTTTGTAAGACGGAGTAATATCTTTGAACAGCTCCATAAGAGAAATCATCACTAGTTTTCGCACGGTCACGGCCACATTGGGGTCTTGTTCCATCAGCATTGCACGCAATTCTTTCAACTTCTTCATCTGATTTAAGGGAAGCCATAACCATGAGCATCATACTGGTAATTACATCAATTTTAAGTGCTATTGTGTTATTACTGTTTGTGAGGTGCAAAGCCAATCTCATGTCTTTGCATCTACTTGGCCACTGTTTTTGACTTAACGGGATTGATTTTTATGTACCTGGAAGTTAGACATGTCCTAACTATCATTGCAGTGATACAACTGGTCTTCCTTATCTACAGATTTAACCAACTGATATTCCTTATACACCTGATGTTAGATAAAAATTTACTGGGCAAAAAGGAGTCGCAAGTTGATATAATTTAAGAAGCCCTGCTCTAGATCAAACATATCCAGCTCAATGTATTTTTGAAGGCTTTCATGGCCGGAATTACTGGGCTGTTGTAGGTTTTTTCGGGCTATATGGCCATGGTCTAGAGGCATTTTCTCCTGACGTTTTGCCTGCATCTATGGCAAACATCCTCAGAGGTAGTGAGGTCTGTTGGAACTAGGAAAAAGAGTTTATATATCTGTGGAATGACCAGGGTGGGACAAAGGACTCTTGTCTGCTGGAGCTTGGTGTGTTCCTTGATTCGTGTTTGGGCAATGCTGGGTTTGGTGGTCCCTATGTAGACTGCATGGTATACGGTAGACTCCTGCAGAAGTGAGAGGATCCCTCTTGTCCTTTGCTGAACGTAGCATTTGTTGGATTTTCTTAGTGGGTCTGTAGACAGTTTGTATGTTGTGTTTCCCCATCAGCTTCCCAATGCGGTCAGTGGTTCCCTTGATGTATGGCGAGAACACTTTTCCTCTGGGTGGATCTTTGTCTTTACTCTCGTGGCTTGTTCTCAGTCTTGCAACTCTTCTGATGTCTGAGGTGGAGTATCCATTGGCCTGTAAAGCCCAGTTTAGGTGGTTCAGTTCATCTTGGAGGAGGTGGGATTCGCAGATTCTTTTGGCACGGTTCTCCAGCTCAAGGTTCTTCAGAGGTTTTGACCTGTAATTCCCATCACACCTGAAAACTATCCATGCTAGCTAGGACTGGCAACTTAAAACCTAGGTTGAAACCATGGTTTGAAGTTACAGCTCCAAATATTTCAGCATCACTGTGTTATTATGTAAAACGGCTTTTAAAAAACAGCTTTATAATATTATAATATCTATTTATAACACGGTTTATCTTCCCAATGGTGGAATTAAAGTCTGAATTTTGTCCATCTTCTAAACCAGGAAGGTGAAACTCAAAGTGTTTTAAAGTTTGATAGTGATCACTGTTTCAAAACACATTTTTATCAACTTTTGAGATTTTTCATATGCAGTTATTAATTTTGATAATTGTATGTATCTGAGAATATTTCACATTTTCATACGTTGCAGTTATACAACAAAATACTGGAGAGAGGAGAAGGCTCAGCCTAATGCAGCAGCTAAACTGCCTACAATAAAGTAGAATTATCAGATCACATTAATCAACTAAATCTGGGACAGAGAGCCAAGAGTAAAGAATTTTTTTAAATCCTCAATGCATTTCAGACCCTTTTTTATTATAAAAGTCCTTCAACTGAAAATTTTGAATAATAAAATTTTAAATAATGAATTACACTATGTAACATAATTTTTGTTCCTGGATTATAAATGTCATTTCCTAAGTGGTTTTATCATAAAAACATGGAAAAAGTTTATTAAACTGCAAAAACATCCTGAAGCACATCTTGCTATAGTTTTTTAATGAATATCCTACTGAGTCTCAACCAATTCAACACAGTTTATGGCAGCCACAAAAACGAAGTTTCTGGAGTATGACAGCTACTTTCAAAGTAAGTACTTCATAATTAAACAGAAAATAACACTTTTGAAACAGGAACAGATTTTTTTTAAATGACAGACAGTTGTACCCTTTTAAGATGCCTCCTTCAGACCAGACAGAAAGGAAACTCTGCCTCCAACATGGAAAGTAATACACACAAACCACTGTGAAAACTAACTCTGCTAAGCCACATAATCCAGTATTGATTTCTGCAGCTGTGATATTATTTTCTACTTTAGACTCTTTTGACACACTCATTTTTAACTGCTAAATTTCAAAGCAATCATAATGTTACTTACATTACTTTCTGGGTCAGACAGGACAGCAGATGCTAAGGCAGCAATGTGCACCTTCTTCTCTTGTAGTTTCCTTTTTCTATAAACTAACAGCTCTTCAGCAGAGAGAACTGGCAGAGGTTCGGTAGGAGCTGTTGGTGAGAGAAAACAGTTGAACATCTAGATCAGGGGTCCTCAAACTTTTTAAATAGAGGGTCAGGCCATAGCCCCTCAAACTGTTGGAGAGCCGGATTATAATTTGAAAAAAACATGAATGAATTCCTATGCACACTGCACATTTATTTTTTAATTATTTATTTAGGGCTTTTATACCCCGTCCTTTCTCAACTTCCGCAGAGGGACTCAGGACGGCTAACAAAGTGGCACCCCATGGCGCCCACATCAAAACATAAATATACAATTAACAGTAATGTAATAATAACAATATAAAACAGTATAAACAGTATAAAACCGTATAAACAATATAAAAACAGACAACAAATAGTCAGTGGTCACCAATTTAAATCATTATCCAAGGGCAGTCCATCAGTTCTAAATCAGTCAACACGCCAGTAGGTCAGCCTATTCTCCAAAGGCCTGTTCCCATAGCCAGGATTTTACATGTTTCCGGAAGGTCAAGAGGGATGCAGCAGATTTAATTTCACTCGGGAGTCCCACAGCCAGGGGCCACCACAGAAAAGGCCCTGTCACTTGTCCCCGCCAGACGCGATTGTGACAATGGGGGGACAATGAGCAGGGTCTCCTCAGATGATCTTAGGGCCCTAGGTGGATCGTAGTGGGAGATATGTTCGGACAAGTAATCTTATTTTAGTGCATATCTTATTTGTAGTGCAAAAAACACTTAAAAACAATACAATAATTAAAATGAAGAACAATTTTAACAAATATAAACTTATTAGTATTTTAGTATTTAGCTTTTGGTTGATGAGATAGGATTGTTGTTGTTGAGGTGTGCTTTCAAGTCATTTCAGACTTAGACTGACCCTGAACGAGGGCCGGGTAAATGACCTTGGAGGCCGTATCCAGCCCTCGGGCCTTAGTTTGAGGACCCCTGGTCTAGATAATATACAGGCTGGATGGTTATCTGTTGGGGGTGTTTTTATTGGGTCTTTACGCAGGGCAGGAGGTTAGACTGGCTGGCCCTTCCAGAGACTATGTCCACTTTGGCATTCTTCCACACGACTACAGATAAATGTGGCATATGAAAGAGAAGGCAAGTTTTCATTAGTAACCCCAATCAGCCTTTTGCCAACCTGCTCCTTCCATTTAGTAAACTATCCTATTTCTTCAGTTCTAAGACACACCTTGTTTCCTATACAAACAACTCTAAAAACGGGATGCTTTCCTCACATAGAAATAAAGCCTTTTTCCTGTTGGCAGTACTGGAATTCATATGTGTCTTACAAATAATGGCATCTTAAGATAGAAGCAAAAATAAATGGAAAAGGGACTTAGGAATCAATATTACAGGGGAGGAATGGTTAAAAAATAAAAAAACAAAAAATATGAAAAATATGTCTGTGGGTGTTAAAAGAGAATTGATACAAAGCAATTTGGAGATGATACATGACTCCAGTAGCATTGTTATTATAATAGAATCTATCCACAAAATTGGAGGTGTAATAAGGAAACTGGGACTTATAGACATTTATGGTGGGAATGTGAAAAGATAAAAAATGGGGGAAAGTATTAGCTGAAATTAATGACATATTTCCAATTAATATGCAAAAAAATTCAGAACTATTAAATTTTGGAGACATAAAATTAAAATGGCAAAAGAAAGAATTAATTGTAATTTCTGTTGCTGCTTTAAGATTAGCTATAGCCAAAAAATAGAAAGGAAATTATGAATACGAAATTGATGATTGGTACAAAGAGGTGTGGAACATCGCAATAAACAATTATTTATTTATTTACCATATTTGTATACTGCCCTTTTCAGCCCACAGGCAAAATAAAATGCAAAAAGGGATGAAATAAAAGAAATAATTTTGAGGCAATATGGGGCAAATTCTTAGAATATATCAAAGAAGGGATAAAACCAAAGAGATAAAACCAAAATACATAAACATTTTGGAGGTCAATATAAGAATTATTAATATGTATTAAGGATGAATAACTGTCCCATGGGTGGTGGATACACATAGAGATTACATGTATAAAAATCTATATAAATAAAAATGTACTGTTCATTTGTGGGATTAACATAACTCAAAAACCACTGGACAAATTGACATCAAATTTGGACACAATGCACATATCAGGCCAACGAGTGACCGTCACTCATAAAAACACTGAAAAAAACAGCAGAAGAGACTTTAAAAGCCAAAAAAAAAATATCACATTACAACGCATGCACAAAACCACAAATATATACGCAAACACACATATACACACACATATATACACACAAAACACATATGCACACACTGGGCCACAGAAACGCGTGGCAGTGGATGGCTAGTATGATAATAAAAAAGAATAGCAGTATGGTAATATTTGGGGAATTGGTTAGGTTTTATTTGATTGGTTCAACTGTATTTATCAGAACTTTTCAAATACCACTTCAAGTTGTGGCTTTACTCTTAAGAACAGCCTGAATGAATTTTCTTTTCAGATTTAGTTTGTCTTCCTGAATGTAACATCTGGGAGTATTCAAAGAGAATCCATCCATTCCCTTGGCAGAATTATATATTTTTTAATATTTCTGTATCCAAGTAGTTCTACAGGGACTCCAAGCCACAAAGTGTTCTCTGGACCACTTAAGAAATGTACATAACAGGGATCCAAGAAACATATTATTATTTGAATAAATCAAAGAGTCCAAATGGTTGCTTTCAAATAGCTACCTTGTGCCGTTTCCATTTCCTCAGCAGCACCCTCCACTCCCTCTTCTTCTTCATCTTCCACCTTGACAACTAAAAGGAAAAGCACACCCTTTTAAGACTTAGTAGTACAAATATTTCAGGCCTTAAACCACATAAATCAAAGACTCACCTGGCTTTTCCATAGTCTGTGGAATAATTCCACGTTTGTCTTTGATGGGAAGCAGATGAATAAGTTCTTTTTCAGGCTCAGTCTGCATGCGCCTTGGCACCTTCTCATATCGCTCAATCACATTCTCATTCTTGCGCTTCTTGGCATGAACAGGTTCACTACACCGCAAATAAAGAAAATAAATGGATTCACTGAAATGTGAGCAACTACTTATTCACAGCATATAACCATAACTTCTATGTAATGATGATGCATGAAACTTTAATCCTTCCAAAGCAGACCATTATTTTAGTCCTCCAGAATCACACTACACTGTAGATTTCAAACAGAATTAGAGCCACAAGATAAGACATTTTATGACATTGACAACGAAACAGTTGTAAAACAATATTCTCGAGTTTTGCCATCTCCTATATAGTGTACTTTGGGTTGCTGTGAGCTTTTTGGGCTGTATGGCCATGTTCCAGAAGCATTCTCTCCTGACCTTTTACCCACATCTATGGCAGGCATCCTCAGATTTTGAGGAGGTCTGTTGGAAACTAGAGGTTGGAAAAAGAATTCTCTTGAGGCAAGTGTGAATGATGCAATTGGCCACCTTGATTAGCATTGAGTGGCCTTGTAGCTTCAAATCCTGGCTTGTTGCTGCCTGCGGGAATCCTTTGTTGGGAGCTGGCCCTGATTGATTCTTGTCTGGAATGTTCCTGCTTTTTGATTGTCACTCTTTATTTACTTATTAGGGTTTTTAATACCAGTTTTTAATACTGGTAGTCAGATTTTGTTCATTTTCATGATTTTCTCCTTTCTGCTGAAACTGCCCACATGCTTTTGGATTTCAATGGTTTCTCTGTGTAGTCTGACATGGTGGTTGTTAAGAGTGGTCCACAGACCCCTCAACCTCTGAGGATGTCTGCCATAGATGTGGGTGAAACATCAGGAGAGAATGCTTCTGGAACATGGCCATACAGCCTATAAAATAGAGATAAAATCAAATATTGTCTGATAACACTATGTAATACAATTATTGTTCCTGGGTTATTTCCTAATTTGTTTTATCATAAAAACATGAAAAGAAGTTTATTAAACTTTGTTTTGAAAGGTTTGAAATGGCATATTTTCATTAAGGAAAATAAAATTTTTGAGTTTTTTGGTAAAAGAAGAGTAAAAAACAAAAAAAGTTTCTGGAGTATAACAACTAATTTCAAAGTAAGTACTGCACAATTAAACAGGAAACCAGAAACATGTTTTTTTCAAATTTTGTTACATAGTTAAATAAATCAGCATTCAGCATTTGCAAGCATTCAGCACTTACTCAGAAGATATGTCCCTGGTTATAAAAGATGCCTTTTGAGAAAGCTCCTCCATTAACTTCAGATCATCTTCATCCATCATATCAAGAGGGAGAGCATCCTCTTCTTCTTCCTCTTGCTTTTGTGCTGCTATAATGCCAAAAAAATCAGAATCACTGAGGTATATGTACACACATTACTGTAAAAAGCAAACGAACAGTTCTTAAAGAGTGTCTCTTTAAATCTGTGAACTATAACAATATGTAGCACGCTTTTTGTTCCTGGGTTATAAATATCCCAGGCTCTATCCCAAATATCCTAATTGGCTCTATCATAAAAACATGGAAAAAAAGTTTATTAAACTGCAAAAACTTTGTTTTTGAGGGACATCCTGCAGCACATTTTGCTATAGTTTTTCAATTAACATCTCAAAGAGTCTCAAACAATTCAACATAGTTTGTGGCAGACACAAAACAAAGTTTCTGGACTATAACAACTACTTTCAAAATGAATAACATACCAGTTAAATAGGAAATAACACATTCAAACCAGGAAAAGATTTTTTTTTCAAATTGTAATACATAATGTTTGAAAGTGTTATTTCCTGTTCATATAGTGTAATCTAAGAGTATATTTTGCTCATTTAGCAATAGGAGGTTGGGACCTCTACTCTGTTTTCATAGCTCTATATCACTCTGGAAAAAAAAAGTATTTGATGCGATTTGATGATTTTCTAAACTCGGCCCTTTTCCAGAGCTCAGGTCTGCACAAACAAATACTGATTTCCAATTATGGCGATCTGGATTAGTACAAGCCATACTCCAGCAGTTTCAACAAGGCCAGGATCAGAAGGAGCAAATGGCAAGAACCATGTCTTTCATACTCAATTATGTAATACCTTACCATAATTTAGTGTTATGTCTGGAATATTTGTCTTTTAAAGAAAAATGTGACACAATGTTCAGATCATAAAATTATTGCCTCTGACAATCCTGGTACTCATGGCATACTTTTCCACATATATATCTATGTAGATCTTACCTGGACGTTTTTTCTTATCTTCCAAAGGCAATGGCGTCTTGGATACAACATCTTTGACGGCTTGTCTGAGTTTCCTCTGTTCCTTTCGGTATTTCTTAGCAGTGCTCTGCTGCTTCAACTGCTTGTTTTTCAATTTGTTGTCAAGTTTTATTTTGCTTGTTTTCAGCAACTTGCGGAAGCTTGGAACGCGTTTGGTATTTTTTCTCTGAAGACAGTAAGGGCAAAGTTAGTTGGCCTTTCACATCTATTGCATTAATGTTTTACAACAGTTACTAATGTCAAGAAGAAAAAATAAATAATTATGAATGAAAATATTGTTGTAACATTTAAGAATTCAACAGTAAGCAATTTTAAGTGTTGCAGATGACAGTATGGTAAAGGTAGATGGAAAATGCACTTTTATTAAACCAAATTTTAAATAAGACAGCCCGTAAATGTGAATGAAGATAATTCCTGAAAGTGATGGTTTCTGCATCTTTTATGCCCCCCAACTATCCTGATTTAACAGGGCCAGTTCCAAATCATTCTCTGCCAAACCATTTTTTTCCAGTTTAAAATGTCTGTCTACTCCCCTGCCCTCACTTTCTCTCTTTACCTTTGTCTCACATCACTTGCTGCAAACTGACTGGAGTGGAGGAGGAAAAAACTTGCCATTTCCTATTGCTGCTGTTGTATTTATTTATTTATTTATTTATTTACTGTGCTTATATACCGCTGTTCTCAGCCCGAAGGCGACTCACAGAGGTTCACAACAAACAAGAACAGCAAAAATTCAATGCCACAATATAAAACAGTTAACAACCCCGCGCAACATACAATTAATAAACACTTACTACAATAACTATTCACTATCGTCTCATCCACAAAAACATAATCCAGACTCGTCAACCATTTTCCATTCCTATGTTCATTACCAGTTATTGCACTAATTATTCGAACGTCTGCTCAAACAGCCAGGTCTTAACTTTTTTACGGACTACCATTAGAGATGGTGCTAGCCTAATGTCTGTGGGAAGGGCATTCCACAGCCGAGGGGCCACCACCGAGAAGGCCCTATCTCTCGTCCCCGCCAACCGTGCTTGAGAAGCAGGCAGGATCGAGAGTAGGGCCTCCCCGGAAGATCTCAAAGCCCTGGTGGGTTCATAGGCAGAGATGCGGTCAGATAGGTAGCTTGGGCCGGAACCGTTTAGGGCTTTAAAGGCCAACGCCAGCACTTTGAATTGAGCCCAGTAGCAAATCGGTAGCCAGTGGAGTTGGCGCAGCAGGGGGCTGCCGAGCATTGGACTAGTTGGAGCTTCCGAGCCGTCTTCAAAGGCAACCCCACATAGAGAGCGTTGCAGTAGTCTAAACAGGACGTGACCAGAGCGTGGACTACTGTGGCCAAGTCAGACTTCCCAAGGTACGGGCACAGCTGGCGCACAAGCTTTAGCTGTGCAAATGCTCCCCTGGTCACCGCCGAAACCTGGGGTTCCAGGCTCAGCGATGAGTCCAGGGTCACACCCAAGCTGCGAACCTGCATCTTCAGGGGGAGTGCGACCCCATCCAACACAGGCTGTAACCCTATGCCCTGTTCGGCCTTGCGACTGACCAGGAATACCTCTGTCTTGTCTGGATTCAATTTCAATTTGTTCGCCCTCATCCAGACCGTCACAGCGGCCAAGCACCGGTTCAGGACCTGGACAGCCTCCTTAGTAGCAGGTGGAAAGGAGTGACAGAGTTGGACATCATCCGCGTACAGATGACACCGTACCCCGAAACTCCGGATGATCTCCCCCAGCGGCTTCCTTTGTTTCTGACTTATGGTGAATCATGTTGTTTTTTGAGGCCGAGAAAGTGTGATTTGTTCAAGGATACCCAGTGAGTTTCTATGGCTGAGTGGAGAACCAAACCCTAGTCTCCAGAGTCATGATCCAATGCTCAAACTACTATACCACAATGGCTCTGGAGAGCTTGACTAAAATTATTTAATGCAGATCCAAAATAGCACTGATGAAAGTGCTGTGCAGATTACACTGGGAATACTGGAACCAGTTTGAGGCCCAGATGGTGTGTCCAGAGGAGGGCGACTAAAATGATCAAGGGTCTGGAGAACAAGCCCTATGAGAAGCGGCTTAAAGAGCTGGGAATGTTTAGCTTGAAGAAGAGCCATGTATAAATATGTGAGAGGAAGTCACAAGGAGGAGGGAGCAAGCTTGTTTTCTGCTGCCCTGGAGACTAGGACATGGAACAATGGCTTCAAACTACAAGAAAGGGGATTCCATCTGAACATGAGGAAGAACTTCCTGACTGTGAGAGCCCTTCAGCAGTGGAACTCTCTGTTTCGGAGAGTGGTGGAGGCTCCTTCTTTGGAAGCTTTTAAACAGAGGCTGGATGGCCATCTGTCAGGGGTGCTTTGAATGCAATATTCCTGCTTCTTGGAAGGGTGTTGGACTGGATCACCCATGAGGTCTCTTCCAACTCTGTGATTCTATGATTCTATGAATAGGGTAAACTGGGCAGGAAATACTGTCATAACACATATTGAGGTAGAACGTATCCCAGTGTAAAGTGCGGAACTACAAGTAGGGACAAGAAAATGACTGGCGAGCTGCTTAGTCAAAAGCGCACTGGAACATCCAGGTTTTTAGTTGACTTCGAAAGGAGAATAAAGTGTCTGATCTCCCTAGAGAGGGAGTTCCAGAGCTGGGGGGCCACCACCGAGAAGGCTCTCTCCCTCGTCCCCACCAACCGTACATGTGACGGCGGGGGGAGAGAGTAGTGACTCCCCAGAAGATCTCAAGGTACGCATTGGTTCATAGGGGAAGATGTGTTCGTGAAGATGCAGCCTGCCAAGAAGCAGGAAAATTGCATTCAATGCACTCCCGACAAATGGCCATCCAGCCTCTGTTTAAAAACTTCCAAAGAAGGAGCCTCTACCACACTCCAGGGCAGAGAGTTCCACTGCTGAATGGCTCTCACAGTCAGGAAGTTCTTCATTATGTTCAGATGGAATCTCCTTTCTTGTAGTTTGAATTTCTTCCTCATGTTCAGGTAGTTTGAAGCCATTCCTCCTTTGCGTCCTAGTCTCCAGGGCAGCAGAAAATAAGCTTGCTCCCTCCTCCCTATGACTTCCTCTCACACATTTATACATGGCCCTCATGTATAAATGATCTAAACGACTAAATGACTAAAATGATCCAAGGGTCTGGAGAACAAGCCCTATGAGGAGCGGATTAAGGAGCTGGGCATGTTTAGCCTGAAGAAGAGAAGGCTGAGAGGAGATATGATAGCCATGTATAAATATGTGAGAGGAAGCCACAGGGAGGAGGGAGCAAGCTTGTTTTCTGCTTCCCTGGAGAGTAGGACGCGGAACAATGGCTTCAAACTACAAGAGAGGAGATTCCATCTGAACATGAGGAAGAACTTCCTGACTGTGAGAGCCGTTCAGCAGTGGACCTCTCTGCCCCGGAGTGTGTGGAGGCTCCTTCTTTGGAAGCTTTTAAACAGAGGCTGGATGGCCATCTGTCAGGGGTGATTTGAATGCAATATTCCTGCTTCTTGGCAGGGGGTTGGACTGGATGGCCCATGAGGTCTCTTCCAACTCTTTGATTCTATGATTCTATGTCTCCTCTCAGCCTTCTCCGAGCTAAACATGCCCAGCTCTTTAAGCCGCTCCTCACAGGGCTTGTTCTCCAGACACCTCTCAGTTCAAGAGAGAAGCCAACGCGCAGGGCTCATTACAATCAGCTAGGCCTCCAGCCCCTCATAATCCACCCAGCCCTGCCTTCAAACGCTCCCTCTCACCGGCTTCATGGCGAAGAGAAAACCTAGACTCCTTCTTCAGCAACACGCTTCAGACACACCAGGCGGAAGTAGCTCCTCAGCGCCAGAAGGGCCGGAAACGAAAGCCGGCCCTTGCGTTGCGCCACAGCGGCCCCTTTCGGCGGGAGTGAGAAAGGCAGCCGACGCCGATTCAGTTGCAGAGGGCGCTCTACAGAACTCTGCATGGAACGGAGGACTCTTTCTGCGCATGCTCCCTTCGCCTTGGGCGGGGCCCTTGTTGGAATTTCAGTGCCTTAGTGACCTGTAAGGGTCCTGCTGCCACACAGTCGTATAACCCAGAATGTCAAGGCAGATCAGCCACAACATCTGCTTTGAACTGGATTATCTCAGTCCACACTGCCATATTATCAAAGCAGATAATCTGGATTTTATATGGCAGTGTAGAAGGGGCCCAAAACATCTCTTCTTCCAGATCTTCATAGTGTTAGTGCTTTTGTTTTTAGAAAAAAAATTTCACACTATGTAACAAAATTTGGGGGAAAAAGAATCTGTTCTGATTTCAAAGTGTTATTTCTTTAATTGTGCGGCACTTAACTTTGAAAGTAGTCGTTCTACTCCAGAAACTTCGTTTTTGTGTCTGCCACAAACTATGTTGAATTGAGTTTTGTAGGGTTTTTTCGGGCTATATGGCCATGGTCTAGAGGCATTCTCTCCTGATGTTTCACCTGCATCTATGGCAAGCACCCTCAGAGGTAGTGAGGTCTGTTGGAACTAGGAAAAAGGGTTTATATATGGAATGATGTCGAGCTCTTTTAGGTGGTCCCCCCAGAAAAGGGAGGTCCCGGAAGACCGCAAATGGGGTCTTGACCTTGGTGAGCTGCCAGCAAAGGCCAATCCAAAGACGCGAAAATATTAAAAATTAATCTCACCAGGCTGAAGAGGTGCCAGCGACCGAAGCGTTTATTTCTGCGATTCAGCTGAAAAGGATGCGTTACAGGGATATTTCCACCATAAGCATGGTTTTACTGAGTTTTACAGGCATTTTATACAGTCAGAACAAAGGAAAATCAGTTTGAAAATCCCGCCCGCCCTCCGTCGGCCGGCTTCGCCCTGATTGGCTGGCCCTGGAACAGCTGGGAGGAGGCTTGGCCGCATGTCCCGCCTCCCGACCAACCAGCGAGCGCTGCCGCCTCTAGGGGCCAATCGGAGCCTCCCTAGCGCCTCTGAAGATGGTCCAATCAGAGGCCAGGAGGCGGGACGAAGTTTGACAGCTCAGGGGAAGCGGAGTGCCCAGGGGGCACTTGCCAGCTGTTTCCGAGCCTTTGTTCTTATCAGCGGGGTGGCAGGCAGGAGGGACAAAGAATTTCCTGGTCCGGTGATAGGATTTGAGAGAAAATATGAAAAGGGGCTGTTGATGGCATTTGGATCTCAAAACTCTGTAAACAAGGGGCCCTGTAGACAAAGGAGCTCAACAAACACCAAAAATTGAGTTAATCAATCTTTCTACCGGAGTTTCTGTTGACCCATCTCTTATCTCATTGTCTGCTCTGAAAATGAGCCTCGAGATGGGATCAAGCACGGCCCATGCAAATGTAAATATGGACTGTCTTGGGAGGACAAAGGGTTTCCTCCCTGTTGCAGTAATCCTTGGGTCACATTCCTTTGGGGCAAAAAGGGTCAGAGAGGAAATGCGGGGAGGGGAACCTAAGCATATTTCATTCCATAACATATTTCATATACCTTATACATTTCATGCGGCAAATCCCATCCCCAACCCCAGCGAGAGTTTATTTATAAGAATATTTAGTCACTTTATTATAGAAAGAAATCCATGGACTCCTGGCGAAGGCACACGGAGGTGGTGGCCGCTTGCAATTCGGAGCAAGTCTTGAGCTGAAGGTTCATATCCAAAATGTGGCTGAAAACAGTCCGGGATGTGGAGCAGAAAGTCAATAGGAGAGGGCAAACAGGAGAGTCCAAAGTGGCTTCCGGGTTGTGTTCAATGGGGCAATGTCCTTTGGGAAACTACATTTCCCTGATCAAGGGCCAGGGTCCAGTGCACAAGCCAGAGAATTCACAAAGAAGAAACAGGAACCCAGTTATGTGTGCTGGGTCAGGAAGCAACAGAATCCATTGTCCGGCCCTTGGCGAACTACAAATACTTGAGGGGGGGGGGGAAAGATGCTCTGCATCACAGTGACCAGGCTGAGACAAAGGACTCTTGTCTGCTGGAGCTAGGTGTGAATGTTTCAACTGACCACCTTGATTAGCATACCATGGGCTGACTGTGCCTGGAGCAAACTTTTGTTGAGAGGTAATTAGATGTCCCTTTTGTTTCCTCTCTGTTGTGTTGCTGTTGTAATTTTAGAGTTTTTTAATACTGGTAGCCAGATTTTGTTCATTTTCATGGTTTCATCCTTTCTGTTGAAATTGTCCACATGCTTGTGTATTTCAATGGCTTCTCTGTATAGTCTGACATGGTGGTTGAATTTGTTTGAGACTCAAGATATTTGTTGGAAAACCACAACAAAATGTGCTGCGGGATGTCCCTCGAAAACAAAGTTTTTGCAGTTTAATAAACTTTGTCCATGTTTTGTGATAGAACAAATTAGGAAATAGTTAAAACCCAGAAACAAAAACCATGTTACTGGGGGCCCTGCCAAACAGCCCTATATCCCAGAATATCGAGGCAGAAAATCCCTGAGCTGAGTCTACACTCAGATAACCCAGTTCAAAGCAGATATTGTGCAATTTTCTGTCTCAGTATTCTAGGATATAGGGCTGTGTGGAAGAGCCCATAGTGTAATGGGGGCATGAGTATGGAACCACAAATAGAGACCAGGCCATTTTAGTTCCTATTTGCAAGATGCTAAAAACAAAGTGTGGATGGACATATTCCTTTCTTCCCAATGCCTCCATAGATAAGACTTTCCCAAAAATTCACAGGTCAAATGATAGAAAGATGCATCTGTGCAGAAGATCGCTCTTCCAGTGATTGTGTCAGGAGCAACTTGAGAAACTGCAAGTCACTTCTGGTGTGAGAGAATTGGCTGTCTGCAAGGACATTGCCCAGGGGACGACTGAATGTTTTGATGTTTTACCATCCTTGTGGGAGGCTTCTCTCATGGAGCTGACAGAGGGAGCACATCCGCACTCTCCCCAAATTTGAACCTTCAACCTGACGGTCTTGAGTCCTGAACCTCTAACCTGACAGTCTCGCATGACCTGGGAGGCGTCTACAGACAACGCCAGGTTTTTGGTTTAGAAATGGAGATGAGCACCACCCCCCAGAGTCGGACACTAGTCTTAATGTCAGCGGATACCTTTACCTATAGTATAAGGTATAGCATTAGTTTGGCCTACTTTAAATGGTAACTCTGAAGCAACCAGAAAACAACATTAATCCGCCATCTACCAATCCCCAGGGATGCCAGTTAACTGAGAGCCTACTGTATGTTTAAACAGATTAAACATTCCACTTTCCACTCCATACACTTAATCTTTAGCCTTTAGGTTTATGCCAAAGCAACAACTTAAGTAACTAAATAAAAAATAGTATTTGCAGTTTCCCTGGCCCTGCTCAATTTTACATGCAGTGGTTCTAGTTTTCTGCCAAAAATAATCCTTTAAGTATTTCCCTCTGTTTGAGATAATAGCTCTGCATAGATTTAAGGATCATCTACACTGTGGAATTAATGCAGTTTGACTCCACTTGAACTGCTATGGCTCAGTGCTATGGAATCATGAGAGATGTAGTTTGTCGAGGCACCAAAACTTCGGTAAAACCCCATAATATGGATATTACCACCTCAAGCTCTAAAGCAGGGGTCCTCAATTTTTTTAAATAGAGGGCCAGGTACCTCAAACTGCTGGAGGACCGGATTATAATTTGAAAAAAAAAAACCATGAATGAATTCCAATGCACACTGCACATATCTTATTTGTAGTGCAAAAAACACTTTAAAACAATACAATAATTAAAATGAAGAACAATTTTAACAAATATAAACTTATTAGTATTTCAATGGGAAGTGTGAGCCTGCTTTTGGCTGATGAGATAGGATTGTTGTTGTTGTGTGCTTTCAAGTCAATTCAGACTTAGGTTGACCCTGAGTGAGAGCCAGGTAAATGACCTTGGAGGGCCGTATCTGGCCCCCGGGCCATAGTTTGAGGACCCCTTCTCTAAAGCATTGAGCCATGGCAGTTCAAGTGGTGTAAAGTGGCCACGGTAGTCCACGCTCTGGTTACATCCCGTTTAGACTACTGCAACGCTCTCTACGTGGGGTTCCCTTTGAAGACGGCCTGGAAGCTTCAATTAGTCCAATGTGCGGCAGCCATGTTACTTACAGGAGCGGGACGCAGGGAGCACACAACCCCTTGTTGTACCAGCTCCACTGGCTGCCGATTTGCTACCGGGCTCAATTCAAGGTGCTGGCGTTGGCCTATAAAGCCCTAAACGGTTCCGGCCCAAGATACCTATCTGACCGCATCTCGACCTACGAGCCCACCAGGACTTTGAGATCTTCCGGGGAGGCCCTGCTCTCGATCCCGCCTGCTTCACAAGCACGGCTGGCGGGGACGAGAGATAGGGCCTTCTCGGTGGTGGTCCCTCGGCTGTGGAACACCCTTCCCGTGGACATCAGACAGGCTCCTTCCCTGTTGATATTCCGCAGAAAATTAAAAACCTGGTTGTTCAAGAAGGCATTCGAACAAGAAGTGCAATGATTGGTAATGACTATAGGAATGGAATAACGGAAATGATATTGGATCGTGGTTTGGACGATGAGACGATGCTGAATGGTTTCATAGTAATGACAATGTTTTGTATAATGCTTTTTGTATAATGTTTTTTGCATAATGGTTCAAGAATTGTTTTTATGCTGTGTTTTGTATTTTGTTCTTCCCATGTAGCACACCGCTGTGAGTCGTCCTTGGGCTGAGAACAGCGGTATAGAAGCAAAGTAAATAAATAAATAAATAAATAAGATGTGTTAATTCTGTATTTAGATGCTCTATAAGTCTAAATCAGTGATGGGTCCCCAGGTGTTTTGGCCTACAACTCTGAGAAATCCCAGCCAGTTTACCAGCTGTTAGGATTTCTGGGAGTTGAAGGCCAAAACATTTGGAGACCCACAGGTTGAGAACCACTAGTCTAAATGGAGTTGTTATTGGCTGAAGGGAAGTAATTCTCTAGAGTTACAATCACGAGTAATCTTTAATGTTCCCCCTCAGAGCCTCTGCTTCCATTTTAGAGAATTCACAAATGACCCTTAACAATTATTGAAGACCATGCGGCGATCCTTTGTATTTGATGGCGAAAAACCAAAAGACGACAGTACCCTTTCTGCTTACAAGTTTTATTTACATAGGAATTGTTACTAGTGGTCGTGGATGAAGGCTAAATCCCTTCTATTTACAATGTATATACACGTTTATACTTGGAAAGTAAGAAAACTGTACAAGAGAACCCAAAACAGAGGACATACACTGGAACCGAGTAAGTAAATACATATGGAAAAAACAGACACGTTTAACTTCAAATTGTATGCTGTAAGTAATATTAAAGTGTAGTTTTAAATCTGATAGTAACATAAGTATTACAATGTACGGCAAGCCAAATCTTTCAAACAGGTTCTGCAACTTCTTTGAACACATTACATGACTGAAGCAGGTTCAGCCTCTTTCCTTTTTTTATTTTAATGCAATGATGATGTCAACTTCATTTGCACATATAGGGACCAGATACAAAAAAACCATAATGCAAATTTATTTACATTAATACTATCAAAATGGACTTAGAAAGAACAAGCATGAGCTGTTCAGAGAGTTTAGGAGGTATCCTCACCAATCTCCCTTCAGTCCAAAAGCCATTTTAAAATGTCTTGGAGTGTAAAAGGAAGCTGGCAAACTTCCATGTGTTGCCTTTACAGTATGATGCTGATAATAACAGATAATGGATTGACAGTATGCATTTGCAGGTATCCATTATTGTAGACGCCGTGGTTCAAAACTACTCAGCTTTGAATTTAAGTGAAAAAAGCTTTTTTATTTCCTATACAGGGACTAAACGTTCAATATTAACATTGCTTAAAATGTGCAAAAGGACTTGCCACTAGCTTATTAATTATACTAGTGTTTATAATCAAGTATAAGTCACTTTGATTTTTTAAAAAAATCATTTGATTTTCATGGAGTATAAATCCAAATTTTCCTGTAACCAAGCTGCCCACCGAGTACTTAAAAAAAGTTCTGGAAAACCATAATTTGTACATACAAGCACACACTATCTAAAGAGTTTGCTTGACTACTGGCACCGTTAGACGTTTGCCAATGACTTGGGTGCGGCTTCATCCGTTCTGGATCAGATACATTCACTTAGCTGAAGAATGACACTGCAGTTTAAAAGAAGCTTAGTAAGACAAGACATAAAACCTCCTGTGATCTGGCAAGGATGTCTACCGAAACATAACAAAGCAGAAACTTATTTGGTCCTAAGGATTTCACTGGTTCATTTTGGAGGTATATGTACCAAAAAGTGTTTGGTTCAGGTAGCAGTTTTTGGGCCTTCCTTTCAACACCAGCCCTCCTCCCAAAAGTGCCTCTGCGGTAATCATTAAAAAAAGATATCCCTCGAGATTTTAAGTACCAACAAAAGTTATTACAAATTTTATTGCATTCATCTTTAAATATTAAATATGCATTAGCCATTTTCTCAGGTTCACACGTTTATTGTTTCGCTTCCTGTGAAAAGGAACCTTCCACAAAAAGCGCTTTAATACTGGCAGCAGGGCGAAGGCGGTCAAATTCCACCACTGCATTCAGTCAAATACTGTCTCTTCCTTAACTCTCCCAAGCTGTTTCTCCTTAGTGGTTTTTTTTCATTGAGAAGATGTCTACAATCCTTTGACAATCAAGTGGTTTCCTTAGTATTCCAATTAAAGGTGAAGTTAACTTTTTAGTGCTGGACTATGGTTCTTGTCTCCTTCTTTACTATCCTTCATTAACGAGGCAAACACCTGAAAAGATTTTTTTTAAAGAAGAGAAGAGTTAAAATGAATCCCAATGTAGTCTTTCTTTAACATTCAGTCCACCAATAACATAATTTAAGCACTCTTTTCCACAAAGTTGTTAAAAGGAATAAAGGAATAAAAATGAAATTACTTAGGACTTATAAAATGCAAAAAAGGAGCATTAAACTATCCATTAATATAATTTCAAATAAATAATGATTTGTCTGATATGGCTGTACAACTCATAAAACCGTTTTGATGTACTTTTCAGAAATACATCCCATTTTTTTCTATATAGAGGTCAGCAGTGAAATCAGTGGGTAGTACCATTTTGCATCATGTTAATTCTGGCCCTTCCTGGATGGCTGAATTAACCAGGAACTACTGTTTGGCTCTCTGGCATTGAAGCACGAAGTTCTCCCTGATCTCCTGTCTTTTTTTATTTTCACCTCTCACTAAGTACTGTATATACTTGAGTATAAGCCTAGTTTTTCAGTCCTTTTTTTAGGCTGAAAAGTCTCCCCCGGCTTATACTTGAGTCAAGGTTATTTATTATTTTACTTTGTTGTTGTTGTTTTACTTTATTATTGTTATTACATTTATTATTTTTCTCTATTTATTATTGTTATTGTTACATTTATTATTTTACTCTATTATTGTTATTATTACATTTATTATTTTACTCTATTATTATTGGAAGGATACGTAAGCATATTTACATTGAAGAAGGTTAGAATAATGGTTGAATCAGAGTTGGACAGTCTTATGTTGAATTACAGTTTTATGTAAATATTCAAAAACATTTAACCAACTGATGCCTCAATTAATGTAATTTTATTGGTATCTATTTTTATTTTGAAATTGACCCGAAAATGCTGCATTTCCCACCCTCGGCTTATATTTGAGTCAATCCATTTCCCCAGTTTTTTGTGGTAAAATTAGGTTCCTCAGCTTACATTTGGGTCGGCTTATACACGAGTATATACGGTCATTGCTAAATGAGAATTTGTGTGTGTGTGTGTGTGTGTCAGGAGAGACTTGAGAAACTGCAAGTCGCTTCTGGTGTGAGAGAATTGGCTGTCTGCAAGGACATTGCCCAGGGGAAGCCCGGATGTTTTACCATCCTGTAGGAGGCTTCTCTCATGTCCCCACATGAGAAGCTGGAGCTGAGAGATGGGAGCTCACCCCACTCTCCGGATTCGAACCACAGACCTTTTGGTCAGCAGTCCTGCCGGCACAAGGGTTTAACCCATTGTGCCACTGAGGACACCATGCTAAATGAGATAAACTGGGTCATATGCATTACTAAAGACAGTTGTAAATGTTGCTGGCGTTAGGCAGATGACGCCCAGCTCCATTTACAACTGCCTTTGGAAATGAAGCAAACATGTTAAATCACTGCCAGTAATGGATCAGGTTGAGGGTTAACAAACTCATTCCAGAAACAAAGAATGTGTTACTGGAAACACTATGTAACAAAACTTGAAAAATATTCTGTTCCTGGTTTGAAAGTGTTATTTTCTGTTTAATTGTGTGGTATTTATTTTGAAAGCAATTGTTCTACTCCAGAAACTTCACTGTTGTAGCTGCCACAAACTATGCTGAATTAGTTGAGACTCTCTGAGATACTCATTGAAAAACTATAGCAAAATGTGCTGCAGGATGGCTTGCCAAAACAATTTTTTTGCAGTTTAATAAATGTTTTAATGACAGAACCAATTAGGAAATGACATTTATAATCCAGGAACAAAATCGTGCTACATAGTGAAATGAACACATCTGCTTGGATAGAGACATCTGTCTTATACTACTAAACAAAACATCTTCACTGATCCACATTTTACACCAAAGGCCCACTGTTCCTTTCACTGCTTCAGGTTGGTGGTAAAATTATTTAACATGTTACCTTCTTTCAGCCCCACACCTTCCCGTCAGGATCCTCACCCAAGTATAAGCCGAGGGGGGATTTTTCAGCCTTAAGAAAGGGCTGAAAAACTAGGCTTATAGTCGAGTATATACAGTAATTCATATCCTAATATTATGTATAATAACGCTGAATATGGGCACAAGCCCATTTTACTTATGATTAAATAAAATACATGCAATCCAATATACCTAAAACTTACCTGAGCCCATTTTTTGTTACTATTCTGCATCTGTATGGATGTAATACACGTGAACAGCTTCTCCGATGTGATGTCCTCAGGCAGCTTTGTTAGAAACTGTGCTATATGAATGAAGTCCATCTGCAGGAGGATATCTTCATATAACCTAAGAATTCCTAACGCAGTTCTAAACAAAAATTCCTCTCCATCTCTACAAAAGACATCCCAGACTCGACAAGCCAGATCAAGGGGTAGTGATTTGCTGTACAAAGTGAAGATCCTGCATTTTGAAAGAATAAGCAGAGGCATGAGAGAACGAACACTTTCGGCCTGGGAAACACACACAAGCATCTCATTCACACAAGCTATCTTGGTCTGATTTTAGCTGATTTCTCCTTTCCAATAGACTGGCCCCTTACTACATGCCAAATCACAATAAATTGACATGAAATTGACTCAAACAACTGGGTTGACTTCTCCATGGGTCACAGTGCTGGAAATGTTTTGTGTTCCCTGCCAGTTTGGGTGTTTAATGTCCAGAAAGACTACAGAAGGCCCCCATTAAAAATGGCTGCCACAGCTCTGCCTCAAGCACCCAAAACGATGGACGTGAAACATACTTGGGGCTATCCCAACATTGTTGCTGAACACTGCTGCTCAGGCAGAAAAAGGAGAAGAGAGAGGAAGAGTTGCCCCTTTTTCTCCATCTTGCCTCTGCCTTTGCATTGAGTCCTTAACTGAGGCAGGTTGCTTTCTTTGCTCATCTCACCTCCGCCCCACTTTTAAAAATTCTTTTTCCTCAACTGTATTCCTTTCGCTATAAATACTTGTATAGATACTGATATTTTAAGATGAGCAATGCAATTTACAAGCACAGTAATTGCAATCTCTCAAATTGATCTTTAGTTTTTTCTTTAATAGGTTTCCTCTATATATTTTTAAAAGGAGAGGAATAGATTTATAATATAAATAGGTTTCCTCTATATATTTTTAAAAGAACAGGACTATAATTTATAATACTATAATGTAATGCAATATAATACTAATAATAATAATAATAATATATGATAATTATATAATATTTATATATATTTATATATTTATTTTACACTAGCCGTCCCCTGCCACGCGTTACTGTGGCCCACATGGGGGTTGGATGTGGGAGGTTTGGCACAATTCTATCGTTGGTGGGATTCGGAATACTCTGTGATTGTAGGTGAACTATAAATCCCAACAACCACAACTCCCGAATGTCAAGATTCTATTTTCCCAAAAACTCTACCAGTGTTCACATTTGGGCATATTGAGTATTCGTGTAGAGTTTGGTCCAGATCCATCATTGTTTGAGTCCACAGTGATCTCTGGATGTAGGTGAACTACAACTCCAAAACCAAAGGACACTGCCTATCAAACCCTTCCAGTATTTTCTGGTGGTCATGGGAGAACTGTGTGCCAAGTTTGGTTCAACTCCATCGTTGGTGGGGTTCAGAATGCTCGATTGTAAGTGAACTATAAATCCCGGCAACTACAACTCCCAAATGACAAAATCATTTTTTTTGAGTGAAGGACATACATTGGGTTGTTAGGTGTCTTGTGTCCAAATTTAGTGTCAATTCGTCCAGTGGTTTTTGAGTTCTGTTAATCCCACAAACGAACATTACATTTTTATTTATATAGATGTAAAATTACTAATATTACAATATAATGGTATAGTACAATACAGTAATATTTAATACTGATATTGTACTATGCTAATAATATAATATATTGTATGTATATATACCTTGTAAGCCGCTCTGAGTACCCTTCGAGGTGAGAAGGGCGGCATATAAATGTTGTAAATAAACGTGTTTATTGTATGCCCCTACATTTTCCTCTCAGGCTCAATAAAACGGAGGTCATGTTATTCCAGTACGTTCCTATGCTACTATGCTGATGGATCTGATTTTGTGCCCACTTTAGGTAATGATGCCTTAAAACTGTTTTAGAGAAGTAAACCCTTCAGTTGCATTTCTCCACAGGTCATAGCAAATCCATAATTTTGGTCCCCAAATCTACCCTTGACTTATACACAAGGTCGATTTATACATGCATATATACAAATAAATACAAAATAGTGGCCCAGGACATTTTTAAAATAAAAGACCAATAGTTTTTCTTAACGTGTGATGAAGACAAGAACTTGTTTCCACTACCAAAACTAAGTTTAATCTGCATCAGGGCAACTTAAACTCATGACCCTTTTCCACCCCAGAAATTTTGACATGGCCCCAGGTATATGGGTGTATAAAACAGACATAAAATTAAACATTTACTGATAAATCGGCATTTGCAAGGCTTGCTAAACAGGCTGATTTCCCCTTCTTATACAGATTTCCCCTTCTTATACAGATGAAGCATCTTCTAATGGAGTACAAATGAAGCATCCATAGTAAATGCTGCATAACAGATTCATGTAATGGCTAAAACAGCCACTAAGTGTGTTCAAAAAATCTTTCACTGTGGCCACATTTTTTGCTATTCCAACCCTTACCTAAGGGGATCCTATTTGGAGTCGGAACCCACCGTTGAAGAAGCAGTGATCTGCATAAAAATTCACAACTACTTCTCTCCCACCCACCTTGCTTCTACATCAGCAGGCTACTTTAGAAGGGTTAGGGAAGTATTCTACCAGTTCCTGATAAAATTAGAATCGCTTATAGATCTCTATCTGTAAGTCCTGATCTGCTGTAAATCCTGATTTACTGCAAGTAGTCCTTACCAATCTATCAAGTAAATATCTGGCGTAAGATTATAGGATTTGAAGTGATGAAACAATTTGGGTAGGTTTTCTTCAAAAAATACTTCAAACGCTGCAAAGTATTTCAGCATCTATAAAAGAAAAAGAAAAAAGTAAAAAATAATTCAGCAAAGAAATGAAATGATACAATTTTTAATGTTTTCAGGAAATTGATGAACATGTTTTGGTGCTTTAAGTAAAAATAGCTACATAAGTCACAGGAATGGAAAAGCAAGTATATTATTATTATTATTATTATTATTATTATTTACTATTATTCCACTTTTCTCCCACGAATGGGACTCAAAAGCAGCAAACAAAATAGAAAACAACAATACAGAAAACCATCACCCGACTGATATACAATAAATCAATACATTGCATAAGATATAAATTACATAAATATAAATAAGCATAAAAATAATCACATATATCATTGTCATTAAAATCTCTAGATCTCAGGCCACTGAGGTTATCCTCACACATTAAAACATTAAACTAAATGCCTCAGAGCTCCAAGTCTTTGATCATATGAGCCTTGTCTGAACAAGATAGTTACTGTTACGTGTTGTCGGGGAAGTCCTGCTTCCATAAAAAGGTTTTCACCTGGGAGCGAAAGGCCAATAGTAAGGAGGCTGAATGTACCTCTTTGGAAAGAAAGTTCCAGAGCCACGGGGCCATCACCGAAAAGGCCCTCTCCCTCGTTCCCACCAACCGTACTTGTGACAGTGGTGGGACCAAGAGGAGAGCCTCTCATGATAATCTCAGGACTCATGTGGGCTGATAGGAGGAGATGTGGTCCCTCAAGTGGGTTGGGCCCGAACCAATAACAAAGGTTATCTGTATCATGTAGCAACAGATTTGGATAGAATGAGGGGATATAGCCCATTTCTTTGTAGATTGCGCGTCTGCAGCCTCCAGAGAATACTATTAATTTCAACACACAACTTATCTTGCAATAATGACAGCAGCAAGATTTTTGTGCATTGGTGTTGTGAGCATTTGAGTAGTTTTATGGCAATCCTATGGAATTTTCTCAGCAAGGTTTGTTTGGAGGGGATTTGCATTTGCCATCCTCTGAGGCTGTCAGCCAAGGTAAATAGTGTGTGGTTTTTGTTTTGTTTTTTACAGCTGAGTGTACATTTGAACCCTGTTATTTAGAATCGGAACTCAAAACTTAAGCCACTTCACTGCCAAGATGTACATAAAGATGTGTATCCTTCTCCAGCTGCCAATGCAGCAGATCCAACAATGGTCTATTTAAAAATACATAATACAGTCAGTTGAAAATAAGAGTAAAAATACAAATGTCAAAAAACTTCAGGGGCAGAAGAAGGAAATGACAAAACTACCTCTGAGCATTTCTTATCCAAAAGAAAACTCTATAAAATTTGAGGGGTCACCATAAGTCAAATGGTGACATAAAGATTGAGTTTTGCCATTTACTCTGTTGTGAACTGCTTTGAGTCCCCCAAGGGGTTGAGAAAAGCGGTATATAAATGAAATAAATAAATAATAAAGACAAACAGAGAGAACGAGATCTAGAGGAAACATCCTTTCAACAGAGCAAGCACTTAGCAACAAAAAGACGAGGGGAAGGAGGGGCAGTGCTTCATGGCCATAATAATGCTGTAACACTGAATAGCCCCTGTCTCTTGCCCTTATCACCATTTTTGGAGCCTCCTCCTTTCCAAATGGGACACAGAAGGGGGCTTCTTCTCATTTTAGAAACTATTTGGCTTAATGTAGAAAAAGTAATTCCTTCCAGTATCCTCAACCAAGGCCATTTAGGGATATAAAGATTTTCACCAGCTTTTTCGACTGCTTCTAGCAGCAACTGGCCAGCAGTACAGATGTTACAAGATACATGAATCATAATGCCATTGGCACATATCCACCAGCCTCCTTGGAGGACCATTCTGCCTCAGCAAATACAGCTTCCAAGGATTCTTTTTTAAAAGTGGAATTAGAGGAATCCAATATCAAAACATATGCTACTGTACAGATACAGCTGACTCCCTTTCAGAAAAAGGTTTGCTGTAGATTGGCCATCAGTCCACAGGAAAAGGAATATAAAAATAACACATACTATACTAATTCAAACATGTATTCTGTTAAAGGATATAATAATTCTACTAGTATATTTGTTGACTGTATAATTCCAAAGTCACAAGTACCCATGCACTTATGGTGAGTATGGATATAAAGAACTGTTTTTCAAAGAATTATACTGCTAGACTAATATCCACCTGTTGCCCATGTAATTTTTTTTGTAGTAAGGACATATTTTAAGTGAAACAGTGATGGTAAATCAGAGAGGGGATACGTACCATGCTGTGATCCACACGGAAAAAGGCCAGCTGACATGGCTTGTTCAGGAGATTCGCGAAGGCAATAAAAGCATCTGCCTCTTCCAGGTTGAGAATAAGGACTGCAGCAATGAAGGACATTCCCTGGACCTTTATAAAACAAAACAGTGGTTAAACAAACCAAGAAAACATTGTCTGATAAGGCAACTGAATATCAGCCATGCAACCTGTCTCACTAAAAGTGGAATAAAAAAACCTATTTAATGTTTTAAAAAGTACTTATGACAACTACTCTATCTGGTATATATTAACACTGATAATTTAACAGACAGAGCAATGATATATGGAAATATTAGTTCCACACTCGGCACATTCAGAGGAATCATTGACATGACCAAAATTACTGATTGAAGAAGGGCGAGGTTTCCACTCATGTGTTTAGGGAAAAATGCATATTATCACGAGTAAAAAGAGCCCACCTCTTTTTTTTAACAGTTACATTAGGAATGACTGAGAATACAGCCAGCTCTGTGCACCTGCAGGTCACGAATTAATGTACTTATTGAGCCTGAACTCATTCCCTTTATCTCAGCCATATTGTTTTATGATGTTGTTTTGATTGTGTTTGTTTTATATTTTATTTAATTGATTTTATTGTGTTTCTGTTTTTATCTGTAATTTTTGGGCTTGTCCCTTGTAAGCCACCCCAAGTCCCTAGAGAAGATGGTGGCGGGGTATAAAAATAAAGTTATTATTATTATTATTTTACAAATTTGGATTATTCACAGATTTGATTAATACGTTCTGTCTAAGAATCTCAAGGTCCTCTAGAGTGATTCTGAAAGCTCACACTAGATGACTTCAACATTGCTATATAATCCATATTATCAAAGCAGATAATCTGAATTTTATATGGCAGTGTAGCAGGGGCCTTAGATATTCCTAGGATACACTAGAGATTCCTAAAAAGGTTAACCATAAAGTAATCCCAGAAAACTCAAAGATTTTATAGAGATAGAGGTGTTCTCTTGGGTAAAAATAAGTTTTTTATTCAGTTTTCCCACTTTCACTATGCTCTCAATCTCTGCAAAAATGGAAATCCTACTGTGTTCACAAAGATACACAGAAGTAACAAAGAACATAGCAGTACTCAGGGACTCTCTCCTCTTTCTTCTCTGGAGAAAATATTATTACGAAGCAGTACACCTCATCCCAAAGCAAGTGTTCATAATAGTACATCATTAGAACTCTGCCCTCCCTTCAAGATGGATTATTCTGTAATACTACAGACACTAGTATTACCATCTAGTAAAACACTACCATTAGATGTACTAGACTATTCTTCACATTCTTCTCCCAGTATTTAATAGCCAAGTAATAACTTATAACCATGCAGCTTGATATAACATTTATAGAAGTTCTATATGTGTTGTTGGTATTAAGATAATAATGCAACATCAAAGTATACTTACATATCCTACATCAGGTCTGTAACATGTATATGCTCCCAGGACACTGTGCAAAAGATCATGATAAGGGCCTCCCTAGAGGACAGTGGATAACAGAGGTGTATTTTAATACCAGAGAAAGAAATGTTATTTTAAAACCAGAAGGATGCTCCCACAAAGACTTAGCATGTAGTGGCATTTCTAATCTTACTACAACCCTTTAGTGCTGAATTATGCAAATGCTAAATTTCAAAAGTTGTAGTAACTATTTAATAGTATTTTTGTGAGTTACCATAAACATCCATTGGTATCGCCAAGGAAAATAACAGATCCAATTCAGACAAAGTTAGCAGACCTAGTAGTTTGCTATAGCAATTAATTCATAGGGTTGTTGTAGGTTTTTTTCGGGCTATATGGCCATGATCTAGCTAGAGGCATTCTCTCCTGACGTTTCGCCTGCATCTATGGCAAGCATCCTTTCGCCTGTATCTATGGCAAGCATCCTTTCGCCTGCATCTATGGCAAGCAGATGTTTCGCCTGCATCTATGGCAAGCATCCTTAATTCATACTGACATATATATTTCAACAAGGGTACAAAACACGTGTGTACACAGACGCATGTCTATGTGTCTTCCCGTTCCTACTACGCTTCCGCCAAGTGAGCATAGGCCAGTGATGTACAGAATGAGCAAGATTCAGACAACTGACAAAGTCACCACTCTGCACGAACTGGATCACGATGGCACAGTTTCAAGCTACGCAATGGAACTTCACAAATTTCCTTTACTTTCTGCTCTGCACATACTGCCAGTAGAAGCACAGTAGTGAGAAAAGTTTAACTTTATCATAGTTGTGAAAAAGAGATTTTTTTTTATACATGTGGAAAATGCTTGGTAACACCTGGTTATGGTTATTATTTCCCTTCATTCATAAATTGCATCCGAGGGCCTCTGCATTTAAAAGCAGCCTGCTGGAAGAAGTTACTCTGAGAAGAAGAAAAACCTCTACCATGGATGTAACTGAATGAAAAAAAATTATGGATATAGCATAATCAAGGGCCCCCTGGTAGTGAAGCAAATTAAATCACTGAACTGATGAACTTGCTGACCAAAAGGTTGGCAGTTCAAATCCGGAGAGTGGGGTGAGCTCCCGCTGTTAGGCCCAGCTTCTGCCAAACTAGTCATTCAAAAACATGCAAATGTGAGCAGAACCGCTCCGAGTCGCCTCTGGGCTGAGAGGAGCGGTATATAAATACAGTAAGTAAATAAATAAATAAATAATAGAGCAATATCTTTGGTGGGAAGGTAACAACACTCTATGCAGTCATGCTGGCCTCATGAACCTAGAGGTGTCTACAGACAACGCCGGTTCTTCGGCTTAGAAACAGAGATGAGCACAGCCCTCCAGAGTCTGACTCGACTAGATTTAATGTCAAGGGAAACCTTTACCTTTTACTATAGCACAATCTCATTTTGCATTTACTGCAGCAAATGAAGACACCAGGTTGTCACACATATTAATAAGAGGAATTCAGTCATAGGATCCATTATTTCAAATGACAAAATCCTCTCAAATCTGAGCGTCTGTGTCTTACCCACAAATAACTGAAACTTCCAAAACTATTGGCTAGATACACAAAGACGGGAAATAGCACACTAATTGTGCATCCAGGTTGTCCCTTGTCCTAATCTGAATAAATATAAAACACCCAAAACTTTCCGTTTTTCTATAGACATAAGGGGAAGGTTATTTATTTATTTACGGCATTTATATGAGCCATTCTCATCCTGAAGGGGACTTAGAGCGGCTTACAAGATATATATATACATACAATATATTGTACTAAATCATTTACATATAATATAAAATATATAATTATATTGTATTATTATTAGTAGTATTATATTGTATTACATTATATTATATATTATTAGTAAATCACAGGAGACAAGATGGAACTCTCTACTGCCCTCTTCTATCTTCACTCTGGACCAGAGAAGCAGTTGGTGCTGGGGGAAGGAGGGGCTCCCAACCGATGACATAGACAGAAGACAAGATGGAACGTCAGGAGAGAATGCCTCTAGAACATGGCCATATAGCCCAAAAAAACCCCTACAACAACCCAGTGATTCCAGCCATGAAAGCCTTTGACAATACAAGATGGAACTATCTTCTTTCCCCCTCTATCTTCACTCTGGACCAGAGAAGCAGTTGGTGCCTGGGGAAGGGGGGGGCTCCCAACCGATGACATAGACAGAAAACAAGATGGAACTGTCTTCTGCCCCCCTCTATCTTCACTCAGGACTAGAGAAGCTGTTGGTGCCGGGGGAAGGGCGGGCTCCCAACCGATGACATAGATAGAAGACAAGATGGAACTGTCTTCTGCCCCCCTCTATCTTCACTCTGGACCAGAGAAGCAGTTGGTGCCAGCTAAACAGGTGATCTCGGATTGCAGTCATGCCACACCCCAGAAAAAATAGCTCAGGACAAAACATGCTGCACTTGCTCAGTGTGGGAATGCAATGACGTTGCCTACGGTAGCTGCTTTACATATCTCCCCTTCTTCTTTAAAGGGAAACACATAAATCAAACCCAACTCACCAGCCTGGAAACTACTAGTATCATCTGCTGGTCCCCCACAACAGATCCAGGCCAGAGCAAAAGACAAAGAGCTAATTAATCTACTGAAGTGTCATCTGTTCTGTGCTGAATTGCTTAAAAGGGGGAGGTACGTCTCCTGTTTAACAATATGCCAAACCTGACACCGTTCCCAGAACTATGACTAAGAATGTGTCATAGAAATAACTTATTTCAAAAAGCAGGACAATATAAAATTATGTAGCTGTGTTCATACAGGCTATGCAGCAGTCTTTTTTATTTTTTAAGTAAACATCAGCCAAAGGAGCAGATTCCCAGATTAGTTTAGTGTTTACACCTTATTTAATTTTTCTGGTTATTTAATATTTCATGTTTATTTTACTTAAGTGATATTTGTCTTTACTGTTCGAATGTAGCACAAATCCTATGTAAAATCATACTACATATTTTTGACATTAATATTGAAATCTGAAATATATACAGAAAGTCTTTACTTTTTGTATATATTTCTGTATATATACATACACACACACACACACACACATATATATGAAAGCATCATAGACAATTTGTATTTCTGGAAAAGCTTTAAGGGACCCATTTGGTTATAGCGATTATTGTGGCAAAATAGCTTAATGTTTTAAACATGTTTATCTCTTAATGCAGCAAAAAAATACCTTCTGGAAAATGTAGAGGGATGGAAATGTGCGGGATATATCCAATTTTATTAGTTCCAAACTAGCCTCACGATCAGAAACTGATACGCCAGCATCTGCAGAGATTAAAGCATACAGATTGAAAGATATTTTTGTAGACCGGTTAATTCAATATCTTAAGGCTGAGTCAATCTCATACACAGTTTGATGAGGTACTTCAAATCAATCTTGGGTTCATTCCACAGTGAAGGCTAATTTACTAAAAGCAAAGCAATATATTCTATAAGTCGGCAGTGACAAGCTCAAAAGAGCAAGGCTGTGTCGCCAGTAGGATCTTATTTTGTTTCCTCATGCTTCTGTTTTGTTTCCCCTGCATATCCATGCTTATTTATATGACAAGAGGTAGCAAGCAAAGGCAATGTCACCCTTACTAGTAAGGAAAAGAGTTACTGGATTTCCCAGCTTGCCCTTCCCTTTCTCCACTCTGCATCCTCATTTAATCGAGACTACACCCACCCACCCACACATTATTTCACATTGCAAAACCCCGTGAATCCTTTTTGCAACTTTCTGGCTAGCACAAAAAGCAAACTCAGCCATTCTCTCTTACAGAAAATCTACTTATTTTTTTGTGTTCCTCTGTAGAACCGGATTCAGCAGACATTGAATATTTATGTACTAAGTGTATGGCTACTTTTAAAACCCAAGTCAAAGTTAACTTTATTAAGAGCAGTTCTGTAGATACTCAAGACTGATTTGCACCAGCTTAGTTAGACAATCTTGACACTCTTCCATCCCTGCCTATAAAGAGGAGCTGTCTTATGGATTGGTAATGGCTAGTCTCATGCATTCTTAGCATTATCCTGCCAGCGAGGATGCTTCTTCCCAATTTTTCTCACTGTTCCTGAAAACGCAAACAGGTCTGTTATGCAGACATGTACATTCCAAGTGAACAGGGTAGCTGAGAATCATGACAGAGGTTTATACTGGGAGAGGCTATGTTTTCCATCATTTTTATGTTTTCCCTCATTTTAATCACACTAGCCAGACTGTTCTGTCTAGTTTCATTTGCAATATCCAAAAATGGCATTGTTTCTATGCAGCTATGTAAGCTAATATTTAACACACCCGTTGAGCTTGGGATAAAGAGAACTCAAAAGTCAAATCCTTTCACTTTGATTACTTCTATATTATTTAAGCTACAGGACTATACACTATATCAGGAAAATATAAAATTTTGCATTGGATTCTGGTTGGAAAAACACATTAATAGTAGCTGAAAAGGGCCTCCCTGGTGTCGCAGCGGGTTAAACCACTAAGCTGCTGAACTTGCTGACTGAAAGGTTGCTGGTTCGAATCCGGAGAGCGGGGTGAGCTCCTGCTGTTAGACCCAGCTTCTGCCAACTTAGCAGTTTGAAAACATGCAAATGTACATGAATAGAATATCTTCATTCGTGTCCAGTTCTATTCTATTCATGTACATGACAACTGCCGCTAGAATAAACTATGCGAAATATTGGAAGCAGAAGGAAGTACCGGAGAAGGATCAATGGATAAAAAAGTTAAATGAAATGAAAGACATGAACACATTAACTTTTCTACTAAAGAGAAATACAGGAAATCCGGTCAAACAAACTAACTGGATACAGGTGGATGAATATATAGAAAAGAGACATAAAGAACTATAACTGGGAATATTATATAATTATGAATTATTGAAGTGGTCAATTAGACATCAGGAAGATTATATAGACTACAAAACTGAAACCCGTACAGAATTAAAAGGAAGTCACTGACCTTTTTTCCTCCCCCTCCCTTTTTTTTGGACATATACATCTTTTTCTACACCTTAGTTTTTTTAGATTTTTCCTTTTTTTAGATAAACATTTCTATCTCTCTATGTTCCTACTTTTCTTGAAAACATTATGTTCCCCCTCTTTACTTGGTTACTATATTTTTACTTTATATCAATAAAAAATATTTTTTTAAAAAGAAAACATGGAAATGTGAGTAGATCAATAGGTACCGCTTCTGCGGGAAGTTAACAACAGTCCATGCAGTCATGCTGGCCACATGACCTTGGAGGTGTCTACAGACAACGGCGGCTTTTCGGCTTAGAAATAGAGATGAGCACTACTCCCCAGAGTCAGACACGACCAGACTTAATGTCAGGGGGAACCTTTACTTTTACTTTAGTAGCTGAAAATTCTTTTAAGTAATGTAAAACAGACATGAAATGATAGCTGTCACTGCAACATACCTTCTGTATCATTCTCAGCAGCAGTCCCACCAAATGTCTTCCATCGCTCCTTAGCTCTAGATAAGAAAATTTCATAGAGTTCTGCAAAACACAGAAGGTAGAAGACAAAAAGACAAACTTATAATGTGCTGTAGTAGAATCCTGTGGTTTTCACAGCATAACTGATTTTGAGTGTACAAATTCCAATTTAAACTTAAAAGCTGAAACCATCATAACTGGTCCAATTTTCAATCCACTTGTTAGGAAACAATGAAATTAAGTGGTAATTTCAAAACTAGGAGGGAGAGTGTTTGTTGGGTTTCTTCCCTGGATTGCACAAATCTTTGTGTCATCAGATTTCCAGTCCTCAATGAGTCACTAGCCTAGAGGTAGGACCAAGCTCAGGGATTCCCTTTCCCACATTCCTATGCATGTTTTTCTAAAGGGCTTTGTCTTTGTCTTTACTGCTAGTCACTGTCTCCTCCCCTGTGATGACATAGTAATAGAATTCTGTGAGGTAACTTCCTTTTAAGTTTAAACCGCTCCGGAAAGGACGCCATTGTTTCTTCTGCTTTTCTTCCTGCGAATATGCATTTTGCCTAGGAAAAATATAGCTGCATGAACTTTTTATATTTTATCTGCTTTAGAAGATTAGATTTAGCAAGATAGTTAGCTCCAAGACTTTTCTAACAAGGATGTTTTTGTTTTTTTTCTTTAATCAATTTTTTTGAACCTAAAGTTCTGACTCTGCAATCCTCTGCTATCCTAAAGATTAAAAGGCTATTCCTCCTCCCCACACGTATGTTTCTGCAGGTTATGGAATTTACTCCTGGTACTCTGGTATATTTTGATGGACTTACCCTAACTGAGGGTTATTTTTTAGCCTAACAGCCTAATAGCGAATATGCATTTTGCCTCTCTGTAGGCAAAATGTAGCTGCATGGACTTTTTACCTTTTACCTTTTTTTAGAAGATTAGATTTAGCAAGATAGTTAGCTCCAAGACTTTTCTAACAAAGATGTATTTTTTTACTTTAATATTTTTTTGAACCTAAAGTTCTGAATCTGCAATCCTATGCCATCCTAAAGATTACAAGGCTATATTTTGATGGAACTACCCTAACTGAGGGTTATTTTTAACCTAACAGCTCAGATTCCCCAACGGTTTTGGATAGCAGACAGTACAACAAAAATGTGCTGTTATTTTATCTGAGCACATAGCAAATTCTAGATATGCTTAATGATATAGAAAATACATAGAACACATTCTTATAATTCACGTGGTTTTCTAATTCATCAGCCTATTGTGATTTTTACTGAAAATGGAGGAACTGAAAATACAATGGACTAATTTTATGATTAAAGACTATCTCTTTATATATCTGTGTGTAAGTGTGAGAAAGAGAGAGATCAATAGAATACTTGAATTAAAATTTTCAGAAAGCAACATCTACTGCATATGCATGGTTTGCTTATTCATATATACATGGGGTTCATGGAAGGAGAGACAGGCAGATAAAATACAGTAAATAATCAGGATACAAATTATTTAATAGCTTTATTTTAAGATGTGCATTAAGGATTACTTCTTCGTGTCTCATGAAATGAAATGAAAGTATTGTTATTGCAGTTTTGAAACCCAAAGCAACCTTGCTTCATTAACAGGAAAAACCAGCACACAAACCAGCACAGATTGCTTCATATTCACAGAACACCATTCCTCTCAAATAAAATTTGAATGTTTCCACACCTACCAGGAGTGATATTCAGTTCATTTCCTACGGCGAGACTCCAAACTTTTCCTCGAACACTGGGAGGCAACCCTTGCCACCAAAGCTCTCGAACTCTTCTTGTGGAACGCCTACAAAGAATGGGAAGAAGTGTATTTCTGTCAACCCAACTGTGCCATTGTTGTAGAGGAAAACTAGCCAATCTAGCACTAAGTAGTTGCTAAGCAATGTCTGAATTGGGGTGTTGTGTGGTCTGTATGGCCATGTTCTAGCTGCATTTAATTCTCTCTGAATGACTGAAAGCAGCCAATCCCAGCAAAGAAAACTTTGTGATGGGAGGCACTTCTGTGAGTACAGTAGAATAAGTTTTTAAGAAGGAATTCAAGGTGACAGTTAAAGGATTCAGTTGTGGGAGTTGGAGGGGAAGTAATGTGTACTGGGTGACTGAACAGAATGAAGGAAAAGGTCTGACACAACTTGGATTAAATATTATGATGATATGCTTGGAACTAAGCACTGGAATATGACAGAGCAATGCCTGGATGTTTTACCATCCTGTGGGAGGTTTCTCTCATGTCCCCATAAGGGAAGCTGAAGCGGACAGATGGGAGCTCACCCCATCTCCTGGAGTTGAGCAGCCGATCTTCAGATCAGCACTCCAGCCTGCACAAGGGTTTAACCCAGGGGTCATCAAACTTTTTAAACAGAGGGCCAGGTCACAGTCTGTCAAACTGTTGGAGGGCCGGATTATAATTTGAAAATAAAATAAAAGAATGAATTCCTATGCACACTGCACATATCTTATTTGTAGTGCAAAAACACTTAAAACAATACAATAATTAAAATGAAGAACAATTTTAACAAATATAAACTTATTAGTATTTCAGTGGGAAGTGCAGGCCTGCTTTTGGCTGATGAGATAGGATTGTTGTTGTTGTTGAGTGCTTTCAAGTCATTTCAGACTTAGGTTGACCCTGAGCGAGGGCCGGGTAAATGACCTTGGAGGGCCATATCTGATCCCCGGGCTTTAGTTTGAGGACCCCTGGTTTAATCCATTGTGCCACAGCAGCTTCTGATGCTTAGCATCAAAGGAACTATAGCTGACCCTTCAAATGTGTGGATTTCACTTTTGTGGATTTGGTTAGCCACTAATTTGGAATGTCTACATCCTTTAGCACAGCTATATGGTCAACTTCAACCACAGAGTTGCACTGGAGAAGCAAGAGATTCCTAGAGAAATGTTTTCTTGTGTGCATTTTTTAATTCACAGTTTTTTTCCATTTTTGCAGAGGGCTTGAGCTCCTAACCCCAGCATACTCGAATCACTGATTGTAATTGTAAAATCATTTTGTCTACATCAAGGTCATCTTGAAGTATAAACTCAAATCCAAAGAGGGACTGACATGAGGACCATAGGCCAGGAACTGTGGGGCCAGCTTAGATGGGCCTATGTAACACCAACATTTTAGTTGTCATTCCTGTTTTAGTTGACTATGCAGTTTTAAAAATACAGAATATCAGCAGACATTGACTACATGTCATCGGAAGCTACCGTCTTTCCTATAGGATTAAAAGTAAATGCTTCCTATTGAGCCTGAATTCAGGACAGCAAGCATAGGGTTGCCAATAAGCAGTAACAACAGTGCCCCACCACATGGTATTTCCAAATAACACAGGACTTTAGGGGGGGGGGAGTAATTCTAGACCACAATCATCCCAAAGACTTCACCAAAATGGAGACACACAACACTTTTGAGGGATACAAAAGATTGTGTTAAGCTTACATTACTAAGTCTTCTATACTTACATGCTCTCCCAATTAGGCAGGATTTCATTGACCCAAATCACCATTGCACTAGCAATATTCTCTTCTTGTTTGAAGCGTTCTTTCATTATTTTCTTTCTTCTGTGTGCTTCTTTAATTTCTATTAAAATCAGAAGTTTAAATGCAATGTGACTTCTAAAACTTTGCACTGATGCAGCAAAAATTATATCATTATAGAGTAGGGATTATTGAATGCAAGTCACTTGCAAATGTATTTACATCTCACACTGTGAAGGTTAGTCTTAAAAAGAATATTCGGCTCCCTCTACAGCTATCTCCACCACCCCCACCACCCCTTATTCCAGCTAATTATATATTTGTTGCAGTGTTATAATCTCTTTGTACTACCACTTTTGAAAGACATAATGATTGTTTACAGCAATGAAAACTAATTAAATCACCACAGTCTCATTTTATTTTTCCCCAGAATGCTTACTAAATTCCTGAAATTGCTTTATAGAAACTTTGGAGAAAAGAAATAGTATAATATACATAGTTACGGGAAAACATGTTCTTTGAACAGGATTTTGTTGAAGGCTTTCATAAGAATCTACTTAGAGCATGAACCACAACAAAACACATTAGATTAAATTCCACTGGAAGTCAAAGAGATTTCAAAACACTGATGAGTGTCATTCAACCGTAGAGGATTTTCAGTAAGTAAAAGAGAATCAATGATTCACTGCAGCAGGAAGCTGAAAACTGATTTCATTTGCAATAAAGAGTGTTACAAAATAGAGGGTATAGTTGTTGTTACATGCCTACAAGTCATTTCATAATTATGACAGTCTTAAAATGAGCTATGGGAACCCCTTATCTTCTCTGAGGCCAAGAGAGTGTGACTTGACTAAAGTCACCCTATAGACCACATAGATATGCAGACCCTAATCTCCTGGAGCCACCCTTAGTCCCTTCGGGGAGAGAGGGTGGGTTAAAATAAATTATTATTATTATTATCATCATCATCATCATCATCATCCAACATTCAATCAATGACACCGGCATATATAATTGTGCTAGGCCCAACTACATAAATAAAATGTTTTGTGGCTTTTTAAAAACTAGCACATTTATTACAGCATAAACTTGCATGAAATAGAGTCCATTTCTGAGTCTGGCAAGTCTTTACAGTGGGGCAAGGGAGGGAATTAAATGAGGTTAGATGGCAATAAAATCTGACATGTAAAGGCCAAATTTTTGAATCACAGATTTTAAAATAAAAAAAATGAATCAAGACTATAAAGAAGTGACTAGTGGTATGCAAGTGGAGTGCCCCAAGGTTCCGTCCTGTGCCCGGTTCTGTTCAACATCTTTATTAATGACTTAGATGAAGGGTTAGAAAGTATGATCATCAAGTTTGCAGATGACACCAAACTGGGAGGGATAGACAATACTCCAGAAGACACGAGCAGAATTCAAAACGATCTTAACAGATTAGAGAGATGATTGGCCAAAACTAACAAAATGAAGTTCAGTGGGGACAAATGCAAGATACTCCACTTGCTCAGAAAGAAATGAAATGCAAAGATACAGAATGAGGGACACCTGGCTCGATAGCAGTACATGTGAAAAAGATCTTGTGGACAGTAAGTTAAACATGAGCCAACAATGTGATGCAGCAGCTACAAAAGCCAATGGGAATTTGTCCTGCATAAATAGGAGTCTAGCATCTAGATCCAGGAAAGTCATGTTACCCCTCTATTCTGCCTTGGCCAGACCACACCTGGAATACTGTGTCCAATTCTGGGCATCGCAATTGAAGGGAGATGTTGACAAACTGGAATGTGTCCAGAGGAGGGCGACTAAAATGATCAAGGGTCTGGATAACAACTCCTATGAGGAGTGGTTTACAGAGCTGGGCATGTTTAGCCTGCAGAAGAGAAGGCTGAGAGGAAACATGATTTCCATGTATAAATGTGTGAGGGGGAGTCATAGGGAGCAAGCTTGTTTTCTGCTGCCCTGGACACTAGGATGCGGAACAATGGCTTCAAACTACAGGAAAGGAGATTCCATTAGAACATTAGGAAGAACTTTCTAGTTGTGAGAGCTGTTCAGCAATGGAACTCTCTTCCCCGGACTGTGATAGAGGCTCCTTCTTTGGAAGCTTTTAAACAGAGGATGGATGGCCATCTGTCAGGGATGCTTTGAGTGCAATTTTCCTGTTTCTTGAACTGGATGGCCCATGAGGTCTCTTCCAACTCTATGATTCTAGAATTATGTTTGCATTTCATACCGTCTTTATTATTTCTTCTCTACAGTCATATGTATATACTTGCCAACTGAGAATAATACTGAATAATATGGCGGATGAAATTTACTTCAGTCCATAAAAGCTAATTCCATTTTAAAAATCTGTTTCTATTTAAGATGCCATAAACATTATTTGTTATATATATATATATATATATATATATATATATATAGAGAGAGAGAGAGAGAGAGAGAGAGAGAGAGAGAGAGAGAGAGAGAGCTTAAAAACAGATAATGTGTTATTCCATCAGAACATTATACAATTATGGAAAAGTCTATACTTTCAAACACATCAGTGCACAGATGCACAAGGTGTAACACTCAAGCTGCAGTCAAACACGTTCTCTGGTCTCTTATCTAACTATGGAAATGTTTGCTTCACAGAAAACTGAATTACTATAAGTCTCAAGGTTGCTTCAAATGTGACTGACTTTGTAAGCAGTTATCTCTTTTATGTATCATGGGCACCCAACGAACTGAAGGCAGCCCACCAGCATTTCAGTACCCTGGAATACTAAGACAAATAAATAATAGTTTATCTAAAATGCCAACAAGATATATGCTAAGTGGAGTGCATTTGGCACTGTTTGTCATGAACTGTGAAGGAATAATAGAGGAGGAAATGACTAAACCTAAGTAGATCATTCCTGAAAAATGTGTATATCATCTCATAATTTTTTTATTACAGGAAGAACACTACTCAGGCAGAGAATAAAATTGTGTTGAACTAAGCTGCTCAGAGTTTGGTTACAGAGTTTGACATCTTCACATGATACAAGGTAGGCTGAGTGGAGTTCAAAAACATTAAGCAATTCAATATTCACAGCTAAATATTGTTACCAACTACTAACAAGCTTTGGAGCAGGCAAATAAATCCTTTATAAGATCTAAAGTTTAGGTCTATGAACTCTCACATAATCTTGATGTAAGGAGGTTACTGCTGTTCAGTTGGCGAAAGAATCCACTGAAGTATTTGGCTGCCCCGAAAAAAGCAGCTAAAAGGTTAGGGAGGAAATGATCACCTTTTTCACGTAGAATACTTACTGGTTCCAGAAAAAAGTGTACGCCTAAATTGTGGTTCTTCCTAGGAAATACAAACTAGCATGCTTCTCTTGCAGTTTCTTTGACCAGTGCAAAAACTATTTCCTCATTTTCCTTTTCAGTTCATGGCATTAGAAAAATGTAAAAATTGAGGTAAAATCTGGAAAACGCTGAATTTAAAATCAACTTTAATATTTGTGAAAAAATCCCTTTAGCCCAGGATCATCTCTATTCTACTGTTATGTTCTCAGACATGTCCCAAATAATATGCCTAAACATAATATTATTATGACTGTTAAGGGTTGCCATACCTCTCTTTTTGGCTTCTGCCACCATTTCATCATATTCTTGTCTATGACGTAAAGCCTCTTCTACAGATTTAGCAGGAAGATTCCTAAAAAGAAACTGCAATAAATACAAATGTAGCTGATTTCCCAAGTAATGGGAAATAATATGCATAGCCTATTTATTCCCAACAATGTTCACTTCTGAGTCAGACAGGTTACTCCATAACCAGTTTTGCAAAAGAAGAACTTTTCAAGATGCAGGCAAATTATAAATATGGGGAATAGAAAGTACACAGACCAGAATATACCAAATCCTTACAATTTGCTTCTGTGCACAATTCATGGTGCTGGTTTTGACCTGAAAAGTTCTATATACCCTGAAGACAAGGATATCTGAAGGACTATGTGAATAAATGAAGGAACTTAAAAGAACACCAAACAAAAATTTATCAGTTCAACCATTACTGCTTTCCCTTGTCTGAAGTTTGAACATTATATGGAACCTGTGTGGCATTTTAAAGACATGAAATCTTAAAACAAGTATTTCTCTAAAGTTAGAATGGTAACAACAGTCTACATGAAACTGCAACAACACTGTGATTTGTCATAGAGATGCTTCCTTGGTGGCAACTACTACTTGCTTTAAACAAGCAGAAACTTGTATATTTAGTGATCCTAGTATTTATAAAACTGTTGGCAAACATTGGTTACCAGAATTAACATAGCAGAAATTAGTTTTAAGAAATGTATGTCTACTTCCTGCTTTACTTAATCTTCCCTACTTGATATTACAAGCGGCTGTAATTTTCCAGCTGTTCAAAGCCAGCACATTTTTGTTTGTTGTTCATTTATTCAGTTGTTTCCGACTCTTCGTGACCTCATGGATCAGCCCACGCCCGAACTCCCTGTCATCTGTCCCCACCCCCAGCTCTTTCAAGGTCAATCCAGTTACTTCAAGGATGCCATCCATTCATCTTGCCCTTGGTCGGCCCCTCTTCCTTTTTCCTTCCATTTTCCCCAGCATAATTGTCTTCTCGAAGCTTTCAATTCTTCTCAATATGTGGCCAAAGTACTTCATCTTTGCCACTACTATCCTTCCCTCCAATGAGCAGTTGGGCTTTATTTCCTGAAGCATGGACTGGTTGGATCTTCTCGCGGTCCAAGGCACTCTCAGAACTTTCCTCCAACACCACAGTTCAAAAGCATCTACCTTCCTTCATTCAACCTTCCTTAAGGCCCAGTTTTCACATCCATAGGTGACTATGGGGAATACCATTGCTTAACTATGCAGATCTTCGTTGCCAGTGTGATGTCTCTACTCTTTACTATTTTATCGAGATTGGACATTGCTCTCCTTCCAAGAAGTAAACATCTCCTGATTTCCTGGCTGCAGTCTGCAGCCAGCACATATTAATGAACACCACAGATGTGAGAGTTCAATGATATAGTTTAAGAAATTCAGTTGCTTCCACACAGGCCTTTAACCCACACAGGCCTTTCCACACACTAACCAGCACATATTCATTTTCTAAATAAACATGGTGATACTCAACAATCCCAAAGTAGATGTATACAAAACAACACATGAAAGATTTGAGTGCCCCATACCCAGCAGCACGATGAGTATTGTTGTAAAATATTTAGTGTAAACATATTCAACAACTCCAGTGGCATAGGCACCAAATTTATATCATTAACTCAGAAACACATTTAAGTATGCACAATGACGGTTTAGTACTATCCCTAGAATATACTTGAAGTAACATCTTACTCTCTAACATGAAATTGATATTCTATATATAAAGATTCCATGAAAACTTACGATGGTCGATCTTCCAAAATAAGAGCAGTTGTTGAAAGTGGCTCAAATTCAAAGTTTCTACGTCTCATTGTGTGCGGCGCAGGTTTACACATTTTTCCAGTTCTTGCTTCATATTCCTAAACAAAATTAAGTGATTCATGTTTAGAATGTCGGCAGCACAGTTCAGGCTTCTATCAAGGCAACTAGTTACAAGGTGAGTCACTCAGGTAATGTCAACTGCAACATCAGATAACTACTGCCAGCAATCATGCAGTGCCAGTTTCTAAGATATGGAGTGAGATAGGCTTCTGATAATTGTGTGAGTAGGTGCCATGCATGTGCAGTTGTGATTAGAACAAGCCACAGAGTAACAGTACACAAGTTAGACCTCTTTGAAAATCCAAAGGAAAAGCACAAATGAAATAAACTGCTATTGACTGGGATATCTACCTCATTTGGTTTTAACAATGGTATGCTGTTACATATGTAGTCAGCCTTCCTCATTTGCTAGAGTTAGGTACACAAAGCATGTAGGGGAGTTGCACCCTTCATTCACTCCCCTGGGCAAGTGAACTAAGGATACGGCTATCATGCAAGGAAATCCAATTTTGCCACCCCCAAAATGGGGGTGCAACTATTATGTGATGGCAACTATTACGCAATGAAATACAGTATGAATCAAGTCTGCCAAAGTTAAATTTACAAATGTGGAAGGCTGACTGTAACAGGCTTAGGCTCTGGTTTACATGCTGCCTCTTCACTGTTATATATGAATGGAGCTCCTGATTTGAGTATCTCATTGGCCAGAAATGTCACAAACTCAGTCTGTTAGAAAGACTCCAAGGAAGGAGCTTCCACCACACTCCGAGGCAATGAGTTCCACTGTTAGAAGCTCTTCCTAATGTTCGGGTGGAATATCCTTTCCTGTCATTTGAACCCACTTCTCCGAGTCCTAGTTTGCAGGGCAGTGGAAAACAAGCGTGCTCCCTCTTCCTTATGACATCCTTTCAAATATTTAAATATGGAAATCATGTCTCCTCTCAACCTTCTCTTCTACAGACTAAACATATCCAGCTCTTTAAGCTGCTCCTCATAAGGCATGGTCTCTAGACCTTTGATCATTTTGGTCGCCCTCCTCTGGACACTAGTTTTTCAATTTCTCTATTAAATTGTGGTGCCCAGAATTGGACACAGTATTCCAGGTGAGTATGACCAAAGGATTCACTAAATATAACTGAGAATGATAAGCTCAGTGTCTTACCCCATCTGTATACATACACATCCCACTGCTTAAAATATTAAAATGAGGTGAAATATTCACTGTAACTTCAAAACATACTTTGAAAGCTTTGTCTCAAAGAACTGCATTCCAGTGGTTTTGCATTAACCTCTGTACTAGATATCTGGCCAATCTCTAGAGTAAGGAGATCAGGGTGCTTTACTGTCTACCAAATACAGTTCCCCAATGAAGACACTTCAAATGCCCCACTAGATTTTGCAGACATTTACGGTATTTGAAGTGTGAAGAACCTAGTTAGCTTGCAACTGAAAAGCTTTTTACAAAATGACTGGATTTGTTCCTACTACAGACTCAATTACACCCAGAAGAACACTAATTTTCTCATGAAGCCTTGTTTTTTTTTTCTTTTCTAAAGCGTCTTACTTTCAGAAATTTGCAGTCTGTGAAGAAGTAACTCCCACTGAGTTCCATTAGGCTTATTGCCAGTCAAATTGATTTAAGATTGCAGCTTTAAATTGTAACAACTCAAAACATTACGAAACTTTTTATTCAGAAGAAATACTTTTGGCCAAAATATATTTCACAAAATAATTAAATTCTGGTACAGCTTTTTAAAAGCGTTATAGCAAAACTGATACCTATTTTGGATATAATTATGGTGTGCAAATGTTCAGAGATTCAGAATAAAACATAGAAGATTGGTGGCAACAACAAAGCATGCTGCATGCTAGTCTTGGGGGAAAGGGATATATCGTTTAATGAAGGGATCTCCAAACTATGGCCTGGGGTCCTGATACAACCCTGCTAGGTCATTTACCCATCCCCTGCCCTACACTTTAGACTTATGGTCACCCTAAGTCTGAAATCACACGTAGGCACAAAACAACAATCTCATCAGCCAAAACCAGGCCCATACTTTCCATTAAAATGCTGGTAAGTTTATGTTGGTTAAAATTGTTCTCCATAATGAATATTGTACTATTCTTTCATATTTTGCACTAGAAATAAGATATGTGCAGTGTAGTTTTTTCAAACTACAGTCTCCCCCCCCCCCCCGCCCAAAACAGTCTGGGTGACTATGAACCACTTGTCTATTTATAAAGTTTGAGGACTGATTTAATGCATCCATTCATGAACTGCTATTGTGGCTTCAAATTCATTAGTTATAATGTGACCACCTAAAACAAATAGAGGCTCCTTCCCTTTTGCAGTGGCAGTAATACAGAGACTGCAGTATTTATTTGGCTTCGAGCCATCAAAACATTACTGTTGCTTTAGAGAAGGCTATTGGGACAGTTAAATGAAAAAGCTCACATTATGAGCCAACTTTCAAATGTTAATATTACCATCGCGTCCATATCACTGATACCCAAATCCATTTAATTGCACTTACATTTTGATTCTAAAACAAATGTCCAGAAATACAATTTGCACATTACATCTATAGAGAATATCCTCACCTCAATTACTTGAAAGTTAGTGTCTTGGGTTTTTTTTTTTATTTGTTTATTTTTGTGTGTGTCAGGAGCTACTTGAGAAACTGCAAGTCGCTTCTGGTGTGAGAGAATTGGCCGTCTGCAAGGACATTGCCCAGGGGACGCCCGGATGATTTGATGTTTTTATCATCCTTGTGGGAGGCTTTTCTCATGTCCCCGCATGAGGAGCTGGAGCTATTAGAGGGAGCTCATCTGCCTCTCCCTGGATTCGAACCTGCGACCTGTCGGTCTTCAGTCCTGCCGGCAAGGGGTTTAACCCACTGTGCTACCGGGGGCTAGTGTCTTGGTTGAATGAATGAGATTTAGTTCTACAATACATTTAATTTAATCCTTGTCCAGGCGGATGGGACAGTTTAATCCCTCAGGATCACATTTGGTTGCAGAACTTAGAGAAATAGGCATACAATACAGTAATCGTCTAACATTTTCAGTCATCCCCTGAGATGTGGAAACCATGGCTCAAGTTTTGGCCACCTATCATGCAACTTTTTCTCTTTTCACAGACAAAAAGTAGCTAGGAGAAACTTTATTCCAGCATATCTATTGCGTTTGTGTTGTTTAGATTTTTTGGCAAACAAGAAAGACTAACAACTGCACTAAGTAAATAATCTATTGCATGTACTGTAAGTCTAATTGAAGACACTAATGAATGTAAAGCACACTCCATTTTTTGAAGCTTCAATTTGAGGAAAAAACAATTTTCTTTGAATATTTTTAAATTTTTCCTCTGCATGTTCAATAACCTTTTTTTTTTGTTTTAACGTGGCTTTGAATTATTTTATACTGTTGTTCGCTTATTATATTGATTTTTGCATTTTATGTATTTTGTTTCCTGGTATTGTTATGTTTTTGTATGATAATGTGTATACTGTACTGTTGGGCGTGGCCTCATGTAAGCTGCACCGAGTCCCCCTGTGGGAGATGGAGTGGGGTATAAATAAATAAATAAATTATTATTATTATTACTATTATTTGCACTGCAATTTTTCCTGTAGAATTAAAAGGAAGTGCAAAGAAACCCCAGAAGCCATCTTGTCTGCAGAGATTATTTTATTAAGTCTATGGGCCTGTTGAGGAGGCAGCAGAAGCAGGAAGCAGTGCTTAGTTCAGTCAGGCCCCTTCTACACACCACATTATCTGCTTTGAACTGGATTATACAGCAGTGTAAACTAAGATAATCCAGTTCAAATCAGATAATGTGGATTTTCTGCATAGATAACCTGGATTATCTGGCAATGTAGAAGGGGCCCCAGATGGCAAACAGCTGTCTGGCTTAGGTTAAACACAAAATGATGGGGGCCTGGCAGAGTCGCTGGAACAGGTCTTTCCTCCTTTTCCCCTCTTAGAAGTAAGACAGTTTTTAAAACTGAGGTCAAAAGCCATAAATTGTGGCGCTCAGTGGAATTTTTATAACTGGCTTGAATTAATGTTGAACTTAACTCCACAGAAGATTGTCTAACAAATGCTTATATATCAAGTCTATGTTAGAAATTCCAGTACTTCATCAATAGTATACTGCAAAATAAAGAACTTTGTATAACAATTATCCCCAACAGATAAGATACCAAGACATTTTCAAAAGATCAAACTAGCAGAATATGAAAACTGTCTACTCAGAGAACATTACAAACATTCAGCATTTTTTTATTCAAATTGAGAAGCAGGATGTGAGAAAAATGAAAAACAAATGAGCCACTGAACAGATAATGGTAGATCCTTGGCAGGTTTGTCAGCTGTAGTCATGACTATGTATATTCATACTGTTAAGAAAAGAAAGTTTTATAACTGAACTCCTCCTGCCCTTTGCGTGAATTTCATGTGCTTATCCTGCTTGAAATTATTTGCAATTCATAATAGGAACAAGGATCTGTACAACACAGTTTCCATGAAGCAATGTTAAGTATGCACTTCAAAGCTATTTGAGAAGGTATCTCATTTTCAATAATTGCCACTGTCATCAAGACATAAAATCAAACAGGAGTGGGATTTTGTCAGTATTAGTATGCATAAAGGGAAGGAGAGGAATAGGAAAGTGAACAACAAATGTCTTGTTTATTCTGTGGCACATGTGACAAACCGAAAGACAGCTCATTTGAATGCTTTACAACTGAGCAAAAGCATCTATTTTGTACAAGGTAAAGCTTTCAACTAACATAATTATCTCATGATTTCTCTATGATGCAAGAAAATAATGAATAATGTTTAGGAGCTTTGGTGCGAATGTGGCTTCATTTTAAGAAGCTAGGTAATACCGTACATTACCTGTATCTATGGAGGGTATGTTCTAAGACGTTTCATGTAAACGTAAAACCATGGATAACAACAACAACAAACCTTTATTTATACCCTGCCTCCATCACTCCAAGAGTACTTGGGGTAGCTAACACAAGGCCAAGGCCAACAGTTACAACAAAGCAAAAAGAATAAGACATACAACAAACTCTTATCATCTGATTGTACTTAAGCCAGAAATATACCACAGAATGATACTGGAGGACCTAGAGAGGCCCACAAACACTTCCAGGGAGGTATATTTTTGGAACATGGTAGTGAAATTGTGGATATTGAACTTGGGGGTGGGGGGGGGTCATAATGTGTAGTACAACCCCCATATTTGTGGGAGCAATATCCATTATTTCATTTATCCTTGCCTGACAAAATATGTCCACTCTGGGCATTTTCTAGGTCCTTTGGTATGATTCTATGGTATTCCTGAGCCAGAAGTCTCATTTCTGGCTCATCCAGGAAAAATCCAGGAACATATCCTCCGTGGATATGGGACCATACTGTACATGCAAACAAAAAGGAAATGAACAAGCACACATACTTCCAGGCAGTATGAAATACTGGCTTTCTAGACTAGATATCCAGCTGCCAAAGCTTATTTAACATGCCATTGAGAATGCAGGCAACCAGATATTGGTGGACTGCAACTCCTATCAGCCGGTGCCAGCACACCTAGTTACAAGAGACACTGAGAGTTAGTTAAGAACACCCAGAGTGCCCCAACTGTCCATTTCTGTTATATGTGAGAGAAATAACAGGCAACTGAAAGTAACTGTATCTCATGGTGAGGATGGCAAAACATAATTATCTATACCTTTAGCACTCCTTGGGGAAGCCCTTTTCATCATCGACTCCACCAGATATGTTGAATAACATTCTCCATCATCCTCAACATGTAGCAGCATCCTAGGTCTCCCCGACTCCTACCAGATCTAGTTGGGTTGGGATTTTTAAACATTTGCTATAACTTTAATATTTGACTGTTCTACATACTCCTCTTCCTCCTCCAATAGTTTTTCCTCCCATTTTGTGGCCCCATCTACACTGCCACATAATCCAGTTTCTGAATCCAAATTATCTGCTTTAAACTGGATTATGTGGCACTATAGATTCATATAATCCAATTCAATGAAGGACATATGGATTCAGAAACTGGATTATATGGCAGTGTAGATCCAGTCTGTGTGTGTATTCAACTGTAAGCATGCAACAAGAGGCTGTCTTAGTTTCCATTGTAATTTTTGCTAAACATGTTTAGGCTCTTGGCAAATGCACTAGGAGATGCCCTGTCAATCAGACCAGTTTTCCACCTCTGTCTGGCTTCATCAATAATTGTACGTATCTACTAAATATGTTACCACCCCTAAGAAGATATTTTAAGAAAACTTTTTAAAAATCCACAGAAAGAAGAGTACAACCAATATAGTTAGGACAATCAGTGCTGCATCCATCATTACAGGATCCTCAGTGTCTCATTCTTCCCTGACACAAAGTAATTGGAGTACAGATCTGGTGTTCATTGTGTCCTCTATCAAATATAGCAAAATCATTGATTGTTTCTAAGACAAGACATCAGAAATGAAATTCTGCACAGACATAAACAAGTGAGAACTCCAAACTGAAGAATTAGGAATCCCTGACACTTTAGGAAAGGCAACCCAATAAATATTAAATGGCATACCTGACAAAGTGGTTCAAAGCTATTTTAGAAAGCATAATTCAAATTGTGGTTTGATAAGGTAACATATTTATCTCAATAAATTGGAATTTAAAAGACAGTTGCAGAAGTAAACCCATTACCATATTCCATTTTCTCTAAATAAACAGTATCATTTCAATCATTTCAAGTTCTAAGAGACTCAAATGTTAGTATCTTACAGAATTGCAACTGTTATCTCACCCTGGCCCTCTGTCCTACATTGCAAAGCTTGATTTTTTTCTATTTATGCTGGCAGGAGTATCTGTTTATATTAGCTTTTGTTCAACGCTTGAATAAGGCTTTAAGCAGGGCAAAATATCAAAGACAACACTAATATTTGCATGGTGGAAATACAAGTTGAACATAGCTGGAATAGGGATTTAAAAGGTAAATGAAGTAACTGCAGGAACTTGTACTTGCCTGCATCTGCCAATATTCTTCACTATTAACCTAGAAGATTCCCAATTCTGCTACTAGCAGGCCAGATGTCCCCACATTTTGAAGAGAGTAGTATAAAATAAAAGTCTTATTCTCGTCTCAGATTACTCTCTATAAAGCTACTGTCAACAAAAGAAAAAATACGATTTGGAGAATTACGTAGATGTTTTCTAGGAGTCAATATTACCTAAATGACGCTTCAGCTAAGATGTGCTGAGATTTGTTAGACCGTTTTGGAAATGTACCTAGAAGCACCTGTTTATAGGTATGCAAAGCACTTAACATCATTTCTGAATAACTATAGACTACATAATTTGTAGTTCACGGGTAATTAATCCATATAAACACACGCACACACTTTAATTTTGCCAGCAAGTCATTGCACACTGCATTTCCAAGATAATATGCCATTTTCCATGGCAGAATGAGACAGCAATTGGCATAAAAGGGAAATGTTTTATGAAGAGGAAAAAAATGTTTTCACAGTTCCAGCTGGTCAAGAAAGCACCTGCCCTTGGTTTTCAGTAGTTTTCCTTAGATTAGTATTTCTGATGGCCAACTGAATTTCAAGCTGGTTTTCTTTCACAACTTCATTTATAACATCTGGTAAAATTGCATTAAAATTATCAGACTTCACAGAGCAGCCAGAGACAGTGAACCCAATGAAAAATGTATAAGCTATAAGTTTATCAGGATGTTTAAAAGGCTTGGAGATCAGAATGTTAAAGGAGAAAGTTTAGCAGGACTAAGTATATCTTAAGTACAACAGAAAATCTGACTAAATTCAAAATGAAGAAAACAGCAATATTATAAACTGAACAAGGGAAATGAGTAAAATCTGCCTTTTAGTAATGGCATCAATGGTTTATGAGTTAGTACTATTACCTCATGCTACCATTATATGATGTGCCTTCTATTTCAACGATTGCTAAAAATATCCCATGCATGGCATAGAATGTGATAGAAAAATATTAAATTGCATACCCCTGTGCTTAATAGATTGGGTGTAGATACTGATGCAACACTGCCAGAACTTTCATCCTAATGAGAAAAACAAAAGTAAATCCTTAGAGCATACATTTGATAGACATTAATACAAAGCAATTTTCATGCAAATCTTAAGAGTCTGTTTAATAGTTTGGATATAACACTGGCACATCAGACCTGAGTTAAGACTGAGGCATTAGATATCCTGCAATTCCCCATCACTACCATAAAGGCAAATTATGTCAAGACAGAAGCCCAAATTCCAAAGCTATTGTTAGAAAATAAATGAAACAAATGGAATATAACAGCTGAATTCTATTTCCAACCTTCTGGATGTTCAGAGAAGTCACAGTATATCAGGAGTTTATGCCAGAGAGTGTGTGTGCCTAGAAAAGATGTGTGCATAAACTTCACTGCAAAGGATAATCATATGCAAAGGATAATCCACATTTTTATCAGGGTTTTCATATGTGGAAATTTTCTAGACCACTGCATTACTCTTATTTTGTTCATAGTGTCTGCTACTCATTCATCAATAACCCTATTTTTTGCGTTCTTTGACAAAAACCTGATGGTCACTATAATCTAAACTAGTAACCAACATGTGATTACCGGTAGTAATGGAATTTAAAACTTGCAAAAGACTTATACTTGTAATCATCTATGAAAAGCTGTTCCTTAAGGATTCTATTGAGAGTAATCTTCCATTCACAAGTTATTATCTCTCTGTCCCTCTATATACACATGCACATACACACAGTCTCTCATTCAAGTAGAGATCAACTGCAGAAAAAGATAATAGCGTCAGGTTTCACAGCTAAAACATCCTCTATTAAAGAACTGCTGGAATTTCACTAAATTTACAGTTGAATTTCTGCACTGAAATCTACTTAGTGGGTAATTCCATGGAATTTTTTTACTCTACACACAGTTCACATAATTCACGAAGGCTTCATTACAAGCAACTAGGAAACTAAATTAACAGAGGAGAAATCTCTTTGAATTCAAGTTTAATTTACAGGGCTTTTTTCTTAAGTAATTAGCATCACAGTACAGATGTATTAGTGTCATAACCAAGCAGCATATAGAATTTATCACAAATACAGAACACACACACACACACACAAACTTTGCCTTGAAACAACCCTTGAAATCCTGGAAATAGTATTGAGGAAGCACTTTAAATAATTAAATTCAAGTCTTGCCTATCAGGTGAAGGGACACAAAAAGAATACTGATAATAAGTTGATGAAAACAAGAAGCAAGAAGTGTGGGCTCCAGTTGTTGTTAGACCGCAATTCCTAGCATTTCTCACCATAGGCTATAGAGGGCAGGACTACTGGAAGCTATAATTCAACATCTGATAGGTCTTAGTGTGCTCATTTCAATAGACAAGACAGCAGGCCTGCAAATTAGCAGCTTTAAGGCTCCCTGCAATACAGGCAGTCAATATCACAGCATCAACCTGAGCACAGCAGTTCTCAAAGTGTCCTCCGTTGAATCCTTGGGGCTCTGTAAAGCCTACGGAGGGGGTCTGTACTCCCCCCCCCCCGCGCTAGTCCAGCCTGACCATTGTGCATGCACCCCCACTCTACCTGCCTGCTCACTTGTCTTTGCATAAAGTATTGTCCATCTGTGGCCACCATCCAGGCCTAGAACCACCTTATTTCCTTCTATCTCATTCTCTATTCTTCTTTACTCCATCGCAGCATCCCTCCTCCTCCTCCCTCCCTCCCTCCCTCCTCTTTCTTGCTCCTCCCCTTGCCCATCTCTCTTGCCCCCAAAAGCCTTTCCCCCTTGCCTTCCTTTTCCCTCGCCTTGCTAACAAGCCTTCTCCTTCCCTTGTCACCAAAAGCCTTTTCCCCTTGCCCCCAAAGGCTTCCCCTCTTCTGCCTAAAGTCTTTTGCCCTCGGTCCCCTTGCTACCAAAAGCCCCCCCCCCCCCCCCGTTGCCGTCAAAAGCCTTTTTCCCTTCCACGACTCAGGGGGTGCTTTGATTGTGTTTTTCCTGCATGCCAGAAGGGGGTTGAACTGGATGCCCTCTGGAGTTGCTGCTATGATGATGATAACAATGACGATGACTATTACTAGTACAGATGGCCATCTGTTGGGGGTGCTGGATAGCCCCTGGGGTCTTCCACTGAATACTGTTAAGTTTATGTTGGTTCAAAAAACCTAACAACAACCCAAATTGTTTTTTGTTTTAAATATTGTATTATTCTTTCTTTCTTTCTTTCCACTGTGTTAATTAGTTCATACAAACCATTGATCTGTGAGTGGCCCGGCCCATGCCTGATATATATACATTATATATTATTATGTTTATTTATACCCCATTTTATCTCTCCTGAAGGAGACTCATATTACATATACTATAATATATATTATATAAACATTTCTTGGGGTTCCACAAGAAACTATTGCTTCAAAAAGGGCTCCATAGCTGAAAAAGTTTGAGAATGCCTGTTCTAGGAAAAGACACAGCAGAGCCCAAGAATGTTTTTTTTTTTTTTTTTTTTTTTGCTTTCCATTTGTCTTTGCTGGTCTAGTGAGAGATACTAGACAAAGACCTCAACCACAAAGCCTCCTTGGATATCCTCATCTAATTATCTTGCCCCATATTCCCATGACTAATGCCATTTAGCTGCAATTAAACTGGTTCTCAATATTGAGCAACTTATACAATTATCTAGTGATTGCCAAAGATCCTCAAATTGTATGCATGTGTAGAGATGTATGCCCCACTATGGAAAATAAAATAAAGAAGAGATGACAGTGGGGAAAAATTGAACAGTTTTTTTAAAAAAGAAGAAGAAGTTAAATTGCTGACTTTAAGAATTGCAAATAACTTCCACATAAAGAGAACGTGTCAGATGTATGTGCTGATGAATACCCTCATCCACCTGCATTTCTAGAGCAAAACAAAATAAAATGTTTAAAGTAACATCATTTCCCCTAATTGTGCTATTGTAATCCTATCCATTGTGATTTCATTTAGTTTTTTTTTCAACCTAGGAATTTTGCTATGTTGCTATGGTTGCCATCACTGCTCTGCTTCTCTTCCAAAAGGAAGTTGACTACTATTAGCAGTGCTTATTAGGTTGAACCTGAACAACTGTCTAATTTCACATTCCAATTGGGGCAAAACTGCCTTGTGTCTGACTCTCAGTGCAAAGGTCAGGATAAAGTGATTTAGCTGAAATTAATAAAAAAAATAGTAGAGAAGGGTGGGACATTTTAGTGGAGAAGGGTGGGAAAGAATTCATCATGACGATTAGAAGGTAATCCCTCACTACTGGCAACTGTGGTAATTATATTTCAAAGGTTGAAAGATTAGATTTTTTTTTTTGAGGGGATACTCAGAATTCACCAGACGATAGGTCCAGTCAACATCAAAAAGGGTGAGTACAAATATACTAAATAAGATATTATGCTAATTACATATATAAGTGAACATCAAAGGCATGCCTGTGTATGTCCTTTCTTGCTTTTACAGAGATGGAACTTYTCTTCCTCACTCAGCAATTACTAGTTGTGTGTATTCGAGATAAACCTTGATTCGTTTCATGTCTCGGCTTTCGGTAGGGCTCCTCATCCATTTCTACTGAGCTTCCCAAAATTGGGGGGGGGGAGTCTTCCCACCCAAGCTTCCCTTCCCAGAATGCACTTTTTTGATTTGCCTCACCTTCATCTGGGGAGTCAAAGGGCTCTCTGTCTGGGGCTGAAGACCCATCGTGTTTGCTACCAGTGGTCTTGCAATGCAACCCAAAACCCCTGGGCCTGCAGTCGAGCACCGAGTAAGGACCGTTGCTTACTTGACACTCGGGTGCAGGCCCTGGCAGCCCCGAGTGCATAGGCTCAAAGCACCGGGGATTGCAAGGGCCTGCACCTGAGCGCTGAATAAGAAGCGCTCCCTACTGGGCGTTCAGCTGCAGGCCCTGGCGCGTAGGCCCGAAGTGCCCCAGCCTACAAGGGCCTGCACCTGTGTGCCAAGTATGCGCCAGGGTTGCAGGCCCTGGAGCATAGGCCCAGAGCACCCAGGCCGGCAAGGGCCTACACCTAAGAGCCAAGTAAGTAGTGCTCCTTGCTCAGTACTCGGCTGCAGGCCCTGGCAGGCTCAGGTGCATAGGCCTAAAGTACCCGAGTCTGCAAGGGCCTGTACCCAAGTGCTGAATAAGCAGCACTCTTTACTTGGCACTTGACTGCAGGCCCGTGTGCTTTGAGCCTACACATGTGGCAATTGATTCAAAAAGCAGGCTTGGAGCCAATACCCGCTCCTGCCTACCCTTCATATTGAGTTTATTTTCATTCCAGGAGGGGCCTTCCCATTCCATGCTATCCAAATGGACGGACAAAATGAAAACACAAATCAAACAAATGATACAGATACCGGTTCCAAGATTAGCAATAACCAAGCCATCCATCCCTTTCCTGTTTTGTTGTGCTGCCCCCCAACCCCAGTGAATCCTGGCAGATGCCATTGATTGGGAGTCTGGTGAGATCCAGCCTATGCTCTTTACCAGCCATTAAATGGTTGATGAAATGAAATGGTGAGTGTTTGAGTGGTGAGAGGGCACCCATAGAGCAAAATTATCAAAGAAAAGTCACATTTTGCTAAGCAATCAAATATTGAATTTTGTACATTCAGCTATGACGGTTCCAGAGGGCAAAACACCAATTACTACCAGATGGCATTCTGTGGAATACAGAATCAAAATGACTTAAACTGCAGCCCTGACCACTCAGTTATTCCAAGAAGGTTAGAATAGGGTAGATGCCCCTTGCTGATGGAGAGTTCCACTGGACAGGTATAGTGTCCAGATAGCTGCTAGCAGTCCAGTCTCTGAAGCTACAGAAACCTCAATTAGTGTGTGCTAAAAGAGCAAAGATTGAGTAAGAGCAATGTCTCTCCTAAAACCTGACCTCTGTCACCTGGGTGAGCAGTTTAAACCATCCACATGCATTTAGCATTAGAGATCTTCCATACAGAAGATGAAAAACAAATAGAAGAGTCATCACAAAAAGAGGACAATATGTAACAAAAACACCAAATGATTAAAAACAGACCCACAGCATAAATACACAAACTGTAAGGTTCTTAAAACACTACTATTACTTTTTATCATGGAACTGATGATAGTACAAAGACTATATGTAGTGGCCCAATGAATTAAAACTCAGTTTGACTGGAGATTGGATCAAAACTTGGACTTTTATGAAAGGATCAAGATACACTGAAAAAAGAAAGGAGGGCAAAGTTCAACAGATTCCTCTTCTTGCAGCCTCCAACAGAATTTTCCAGGCTTCATAGTTCCAAAAACATCTGTCAGGGATATGGACATGGGCAAAGTAAAGAAAACCACCCCCATCCTATACTTTCAACAGGTGAGCACTATGGGCAGGAATACCCTGGGTCCCCTAAACGCATTTGTTTACAAATCCGTAACCAAGAAAGTTATATTTAATATCATCAATGCACTTAAATTGATTTTGTATCAACCACATTCAGCTTCAGTTTTTATCCTAAAATACTATAGTCTAAATCTATCAGTTGTAGGATCTACTTACTAATCGTTTCAAGAGTAATGACTAAGGAATATATTTGAAATACAAAGATACAGAACGAGGGATGCCTAGCTCGACAGCAGTATGTGTGAAAAAGATCTTGGAGTCCTCGTGCACAACAAGTTAAACATGATCCAACAATGTGATGCGCCAGCTTAAAAAGCCAATTAGATTTTGGCCTGCATAAACTGGAGTCTAGATCAAAGGAAGTCATGCTACCCCTCTATTCTGCCTTGGTTAGACCACACTTGGAATACGGTATCTAATTCTGGACACCACGATTGAAGGGAGAAGTTGACAAGCTGGAATGTGACCAGAGAAGGGCAACTAAAATGATAAAGGGTTTGGAGAACAAGCCTTATGAGGAGCGGCTTAAAGAGCTGGGCATGTTTAGCCTGCAGAAGAGGAGGCTGAGAGGAGACATAATGGCCATGTATAAATATGTGAGGGGAAGTCATAGGGAGGAGGGAACAAGTATGTTTTCTGCTGCCCTAGAGACTAGGAGGCAGAACAATGGCTTCAAACTATAGAAAAGGAGATTCCGCCTGAACATTAGGAAGAACTTCCTAACTGTGAGAGCTGTTTGGCAGTGAAACTCTCTCTCTGTCCTGGAATGTGGTGGAGGCTCCGTCTTTGGAGGCTTTTAAATAGAGGCTGCATGGCCATCTGTCGGGGGTACTTTGAATGCGATTTTCCTGCTTCTTGGCAGGGGGTTGGACAGAAAGGTCTCTTACAACTCTATGATTCTTTGAATAAGGTCTCTTGCAACTCTATGATTCTTTGAATGTAAGTAGAATCTTTAACATAAAGATGAGAGCAGACTATGGGAAACAGAAAAGGTTGTGATTTCAAAAGCAATTGGATCAGGGAAAGGAGAACCATAAATTTAAAATAAGGTTCAAAAACATGTTAGCCTTATCAAGCTGTTCATAATGAACATGCACTTTATCAATCAGGTTTTTTTTCTGGCCTCACTATATAAAACAAGCTGCATGCTTTATTGTTACCTCTTTAATACATTTGTCCAATTTACAGTTTTCCTAGAGTATTATGAAGGTGACACAGTCAAATCTAAAAGTGATGTAGCTCTGTGTGCCACAGAATAGATCAAGAACCTAGATTGTATTCATTACTTTAACAAATACCAGTGAAGGTAAGAGATGCATTACTAGAATACAATAATAAATTACATTTCTATTGAGAAATCATATACAAAAAGTTATATTGACCGCTAAATCTGACATTATCCACTGTCATAGCTAATTGAGAGGAGAAATTTGGCACACCAGCTCAGGATCCAACAAGGACTACAAGGGATAACATCAAAGTTCATGACAGCACTACTTAACAAATATCACAATCAGAAATTGCACAAAAGCCATTAGTAGGAAGCCTTCTCTACTAGCTAATTTAGAAATGAATATCCCCAAGAACTGATAACAATATCAGCAAGAACTGAACACACTTCAACCATTTTTTATCTCATAAATGATTCATTTCTGGACTTCTCTAACACAGTTAATCAATAGATGTGCCCCATTACATATAGGAGATGCTAATACCTTGATGTAGTATACAAATGATCTGTAATATATGATTACTCAGAAATGAATTAGCATTGGTTTCCAGTGATTTACAGATACTCCATGTGTTGAACACATACATAGGAACAACTGTTCCTCCAGCAAAGATGGGGTCAAACTTCTACCGCTAGTTTTTTTGGATTAGAACAGTGCTGTTATGTGGGAAAGGGATGTAAAAATTGTTCTTTTTCACTTAATGGGTATAGAAAATAAGAGAATATAACCATCAGACAGAGAATATAAAACCCTTAGATTAAATAATGTAGATTGAATGTAGTTAATGTTTTTTTTTTGGTGTTTATAATGTAGTGGTATGGTTTTTTTTATTATAGAAAAATATTTTTACCTTTTTTGTATGTTTATATATAGGTTTTTTATTAACTTGTCTAAATGAAAATTAATTATTAAAAACAATCAAACAATTGAAGTACACAATATTTTATTCTGTGCTTTTGCATGACTAAAACTTTTTATTTTGTTCTTCTAAAATAAATTATAGCAACTTTGATGGTTGAATAACTAAGATTTCTTCTCAATCTGCATCTTGAAAATTATTTTAGCCAATATTGCAGTTCTGTAATCTTTGGAGCCTAGTCCACACAGCCAAGTTCATTCACCATTTTATGATCTTGCCTGAGAAACTGCTTGTTTCTGAGAATGGGCAATAGCATGTAAAGGGAATGAAAACGTTTAAAACACCAAAGGGCAATTTTTAAGAAAAGAAACTGGATTCCCAAGTAGTTTAATACCTATATAAAAGTTTTGAAACAATCATGACCATTTTTTGCAGACGCTCATCAAATTTCAGGGTGGAACGTGTCCGATTTTAAGCACTGTAAAAGTGACAATGTCATTCTATAGGTATTCTATTAGACTGAGGAATTAGCAAATTGTCACTGACCTGGTGGAAAATGTGGCGAGGGTCACCTGAATCATCTACAGATGGGATTCATTAGTACTATATTTGTATGCCTTGCTATATGTAGCATCTTGCCAACTACAGATTTAACCACAACATTGCTATTTTGTTTCATTGTTTTAAGATACACCAGTATTATTTTAGAAGCTACTTTGGAAGTGTCTCCTGGGCACTGAAGTCACAACCCTGTCACCACCCATCCACTCATTTCCCTTCCACTTTCCCCACTCCGCTTCAGAAGAGATTCCCCACAGTTTACCTCCTTTCTTGTTTGGCTCCATACTACACTTTCCTGTCCAGCAGTTCAATACTGTTATTGTGGGATAGTTTCTTAATTAATCACTTCCCATTTGCCATAGGAGAGCACATTTTCATTGTTTATGTATTATGATTTCTTTCCAGTTTTCCTTTGTGAAATTTGAGGGTAATGTAATCATAAACATTGCATCATTTGGAGAATATATTCCCTTTGATATATTTATTTAAGCATCTTTAGACCTTTAGATCTTTAGGAAGCTGTCTTAGACTAACCACAAGTTCAACTAGCCCAAGAACTGTGACTTTCGAGGTTCTCTAGGGTTTCACGTAGGATTCTGATGAGACTCTCACTAACCTCCCATCTAATAATTAATCAAGACCATAACAAAATCAGGCAATATCTATCTGAGGTTGATATTATATACCCAGAGTAGTAATATCACAGAGAAGGCAATGGAAGCTGGGCACAGCAAGGATTACATATTGTCTTTTCACTTCTGATTCTCCTCCAACATGTCCTCATGCAGCAATTTGGTTTCAGGAGTTCCCCTTTGTGGAAAGGGGTCATCCCGTCAAAGTCTATCTGCTAAGGGCAGGTTACAAAATGGGAGGATAAGGGGATAAGGAGGGGAGGGGGGAGCCACAAGGCAAATCCAATCAGAAATTCCCCACCCTGTTCCACATATTTACAGGCCAATCTCATGCATGTTTATGCAGAAGTAAATCCCACTTTGTATAACAGGAATTTGTGAGAAATGTACACAGCATCTTTGAGTTTCAAATATGTGGTTTTGTTTAATATACACATGTACAGCAAGCACAAAAAATATTCTCTCAATATAATTTTATGTATTGCAAATATCTTGTGAATTGTAAGATCAGATAACATTTCTAAATTGCACCAAGGTTCTGTTTGGATACAAAACAATATGTTTTGTTTTCCCAAAATTTCCACTGACAGAGACATGCAAGTTATATTATTGTTCGTGTTGTCAAAGAAAGGACTTCCAGCGTTTTGATGGCACTGCCATTATAAAGAATTAGTCAGGATTTTCTTTGCTTCTGCAATAATTGAAAGCAAAAAGCATAGCCCAAACTATTATTTACTACAGTTATAATTAGTTGCAGTTATTATTAGTCTGATAATTCTTTGAAGACATAAATGGCTTAAATGAATAAAAATAGTTTACCTCAGTAAATCTGCTTCCCAAAATTTGAGGGACATAGTAAGACATGCACTTCTGAAATTTCACACTACACATATTCACCTGTTGAATTATTTTGGAGTCCTTCTGCAAGTTCTCTTTTGGTGGGACTTTTCCAAACAACTTCCAGCCAGGAGCACTGTGGACAGCAGGTTTGAGTTCCTTTGTCCTCTTGGTAAAGAAGTTCCTGTAAGAAAAAGGGTTTTAAAGAAATATTTAGACATATCTGCCCTGCTATTCAAACAATTTGTTGATATTACAGATCAGGGGTCCTCAAACTTTTTAAACAGAGGGCCAGGTCACAGTCCCTCAAACTATTGAGGGCTGGATTATAATTTGAAAAAAAATGAATGAATTCCTATGCACACTGCACATATTCCATTTGTAGTGCAAAAAACATTTTAAAAAATAGAATAATTAAAATTAAGAACAATTTTAACAAATATAAACGTATTAGTATTTCAATGGAAAGTGTGGGCCTGCTTTTGGCTGATGAGATAGGATTGTTGTTATTGTGTGCTTTCAAGTAGTTTCAGACCTAGGTTGACCCTGAGCGAGGGCCGGGTAAATGACCTTGTAGGGCCACATCTGGCCCCTGGGTCTTAGTTTGAGGACCCTTGTTATAGATAATTGTTCAAATCTAACCACAGCATTGCTTTCATGTCTAAGTGTTTCAAACATTTTCAATGTTTTAAAGTACAGGCAGTCCTTGAGTTACAAACATCCAGTTTACAAATAATTCATAGTTAAGAACGGGAGCAAGACAACACGAAGTAATAGAAATCTACCACTAGGAAGGGAAATTCACCCCTGAAAGAGTTATCATGGGAAAAGGTATCTCCACTGAGACTTTCATCCTTGTTTCTACAAGCTAAGTTTTTAAAAATCCAATTATCACAGGGACAGAAAGTGAGGTGAAATCTTCAGAACAGGGACCAGATAGTAAAACTAACACCACAGGGATGATGACCCTTATGATATTCAAAGCTCATACATGCATGCACACACACATACATATGGATGGAGTTACACTTAAAAAATGTACCTTTTCCAACTTAAAAACAAATTCAACTTAAAAACCAACCTACAAAATCTATCTTGTTCGTAACCTGTGGACTGCCTGTAGTCTTGATTTATATGCTATTCATTCTGTGCTATACTTTTTAATTGAATGAATTTGTTTTTGTATGTGAATGGTCTATACAAAACAATAAACTGAACTACTAATATAGTAGCAAAACAAACGACAGTCTATCCAACTCTAATCTATTCATTCTAGAACTAAATAAAAAATGCCCATTTTTTAGTTTTACTAGTTGATGACAGAGAGTTGTGTTTTAATCATGGTTAAATTAACATAAATAAATCATACACATTAAAGATAACTTTCACTGAACTTAGTCTATCACTTGAGTATGAGTACAATTATCACTAAATGCAAATAAGAGCTGTCTCACTTGGCAAAATACCAATGTTTCAGTGTACTTGTATAAGTGTTTAACCACATACATATGTATGAGCTATATATAAGGGTTAATTAACTATGTAGTAGTCTGGCTTTAACTCATGTTGGTTCCTGAAATTTGAAACCAGTCTCTAAAAGTTTCAGGTGCACTCACATTTAACATTAAACTCATACACATTAAAAACACATGCATAACCTTCCAGAGAGCAAAGAGTATCTAAAACTTGATACCTACAACTTGTATGAACATGTTACTTCATGTTACGTCTGAAGTAACATGAAACTGATTTTGTGCAATTAGTATGGTTATGAATCTGCAATTGCCTATATGGTTTTGCAAGCATTTATACCAGATGTGCAATTCACCATTCTCTCTGTTGCAAGATTAACACGCTTCTTCTGAAAATCAGTCATGACAAAGTCTCCTTGTCCATATTTTGCACAACAGTCTGATGGCTACCAAAAAAGTATCTTATATGCTGTTAGATACATATTTAACAGCAAAGAGGCTGTTCTGCAAGCTCAGCTTCAGCTTTGTTTATTGAATACATGAATACCATACAAGCTATACACACATACTTGTTTTCTCCTTTGAATCAATAAATGTATTATGACAAAATTATAGTGCTCTGCAACTGTTGCCCTCAGTGCTGATGTGTTTTGAAGAAATCATGCTTTCAATAGTGAAGGACTACTAATAGTATATGTATGTACACAACCTCAACATTGCGTCTCCACATTTAAGATAAATGGGGTGTGGGAACAAATTTAGCACTAAAGAGATAGCATGAACAAAGCTAATAGTAGCACTGACAAAGACGAGAAAACAGAACAAAAAGGAGAACAAATAAACTCCATAAGGCCTAGATTTTTACACGACTGATATGTAAGTTCAACTACATTTCCTTTCTGACTGGGTATTCTCTTTTCCCTTGGGTCATCAATATTGCACAATGCATACAAAATGCTAGCCCTGAAAGAAACTTCCTCCAACTAAACTTTCAGAATTACTTTTGTTTACTAGGAAATAAATGTTTTTTATTTGCACAAATGTTTTACTAGCAGAAGTAGTGGCGAAACTACTATAGGATGGCTCTGATCCCACAACCTAAGACAGCAAGTTTTAAGATTTAAGACAGCAAGAGGAAGTAATGTCAGCAAAATTTTGTGCCATGCTCATGGGGGCATTGTCTCCGTGAAATGCCTGCCCCAGAGGCTTACCTGGCCCCTATATTATAATGTTTTCACTGCTAGATGAAGATCCTTTTATTTTCAAAGTCTTTTTAAGTAACTATTCTTCTGGGTCACTGCACAGTTGTTTGTACTAGCTTTGTCACAATTTCGTCACGTGCTGCTTTTAGTCAAAATTTCAAATTTTGTATTTCATATTTGGTTATTTATTTATTTATTTATTTTCTTTAATACCACCACCACCACCACTACAGTAATGTACTGTAAACCATGAAAGAATTAAGGCAGCCTACCAATGAAGTAAAACAATTAAAAATTAAAAAATATATCTGCATGAAGTTATATCCAAACAGTCCCCTTCTTGAACAGAGGGATTCCTTCTATACAGAGGTGGCCCTAGGTAATTTTCAACAGTAAGCAAACAGTATTTTGGTCCGTCCCCCGTCCCCCCACCACCAATCAATGATATATATTTTCTATTCGTTGTGGGAGTTCTGTGTGCCATATTTGGTTCAATTCCATCATTGGTGGAGTTCAGAATGCTCTTTGATTGTAGGTGAACTATACATCCCAGTAACTACAACTCGCATATGTCAAGGTCTATTTTCCCCCAAGAGCGCCTCCAGTGCACCCCTGGGCAAAATCAACTATACTCCAAATGCTTACCTTGCGTAATGGGTTGGAACATCCCTGCTTCTTTAGCAGAAATGGTGCCAATCTAGAGATGGGTTTGACTACTAGGAGAATGTTTACCCAATTCCACTCTCCTCTGCAGTCCCATATAACCTCCATGGATCTGGAGGAATCTTTCAGAGAAACAGTGGGCTCAGAAAGAATGCAGAAATTCAGCAAAAACAAAAAAACAAAAAACAAAAAAAAAACCCACAAACAAAACCTAATGAAAGCACCCTTTTAGCACAATTTGTTTCTAGAAAGCTCCATAGGCTAGAGACCACTAAATAATTTTAGGATTCAACTATCATACTAATTTACTTTAACTTAATTGGTATGTAGTTAAAACTTTGCAAACTCATAATCCATATTTGTTGTTTCACACATCTGTGCGTAATATGGTATGTTTTTTCTGGGTGTTACCACAGAATTACTTTGGGGGACCCTAAAGATTCCTAGAGATGAACACTATTCTAGTATGCTTGGATGTGATGTAAGCTAATTTAATGATGTTAAGTCATATCTCCAGTTTCAGATAAATGCAGTCCAACTGGGAACAAATTTCACACATATAAGAGGGTCTTAATCCATGCTACTTAGGAAAATACTGCACCATGTTTCTCAACATTTATGGAACAGAGTTGCCTCTGATTCACATATCGTCAGGGCCAAAGAGGAACTTTCAGCATCAGCATGACCACCTGAAAAATCAGCAACTTTTCATAAGAAAGCAGAAATGGAATATTAATCAAAAAACTATATTGGGAGCTTAGACTGTTTGATTGCAATCAGCCATGTTAGATGGGCAAAATGTGGGATATTATGTCTTGAAAATGTAATTACTTGCTTATTTATAAATAAATTCTTAAGTGAAATAAAATGTTCTGGTTATACTGAAGCAAGTGCTACTTATCCATCAGCAAAACAATGCTGTTGATATGAGGTATATCGGATGCAGCTCTCTTTAGATTATTTTCTTTCAGATGTAGTTAATTTTTGTTCATTCATTTCCTTTTTTATTTTACAAATATTCCAATAAAATAATTTCTGTATAAATGTTCAAATGTGCTTCAATATAATATTTAAACTAAATGTATTCAATCAAATATTGTTCAGAAAATTGGATTTTTTTGGAAATTTTTCAGTTCAATTTTTTTTAAAAAAAATCACATCACTGAAACAGTTAACAATGTCAATGTCGCCTGATACCCACGTTTTTCAATATAAAATGTTTACAGAAATCCGATCCCATGTATGGGCATACTGGCAGTGAGGCTATATACATGGTAAAACCGGAAGGAAAAGTTCCATGGGAAATTTTTCAAAATCAGAAGTTGATGCCTGTCTCTATCATCGTCGTCGTCATCTTCATTTCTTGTTCCCTGGCTCTAAACGCCAATTACAAACCTAAAAGAATTACAAAGTAATCTGCTCTAAATATGAATGTAACATTTTAATGGTATCGGCACTGGATAGAACATAAATCAGTTTACTCCCTGTTGACTAAAGGGGTACATATCACAGATATTGTCCATGTTCCTTCTTTTGAATATCAGAAATATAAAAAGAAGTAGGTTCTTGTGGGTTTTTTCGGGCTATAGAGCCATGTTCTAGAACATGGCTCTATAGCCCGAAAAAACCCACAAGAACCTAGTGATTCCAGCCAGTGATTCCAGTTTGTTGTAAGTCGTATGGTTACATGGAACTCCTTGGTGATTTGCTTCAGAAGGTTCAGAAGTTTATCTATACCTTATGCAAACTTAATTACTGCTGTCACCAGAGAGCAAAGAAAAGGATATAACATGTACCGCAACTAAAAATACTTCTAACTTCATACCTCAAACAGTAAAGGATATTTT